TTTAAAACATACTCTTAGTAATGCTGCAGATTTATTAACTCTAATTTTATCAATATATTATTTTGCTCATTTTATGGCTTGTCTCTTTCATTATGTAGGAGTAATTAGTGAAACAAATGAATTGACTTGGTTAATTTAAAGATAAATAAGACATGAATCAGTATGGATTAGATATAATACATCATTTTATTGGGCAACAATGACAATTACAACTGTAGGTTATGGAGATATTACTCCTGAAAATTAAGTAGAAATGTTATTTGTTAATTTAATGATGTTGCTTTCTAGTTTTTTATTTGCATATTCAATGAATTCAATAGGAATCATTTTAAGAAATCTCTATGAGCAAAATAAAAATTAAAAGTAAGTATTATATAAAATTTAGACGTTCAATATTATAATTGAATAATTATATGAATCATAATTAAGTTGATCTCTCATTACAAATTAGAATTCGTAATTATTTAAAACATAAAATGGCTAATATGAATTATGAAAAGATTGAATTTATTAATAAAACTATTTCTGAATTACCTTAAGGTTTAAGATTCGAATTAAACTAAAATATATCAGAAAAAATTATGAAATCTATTAAAATATTTTCAGATCAATTTTCGAAGATAACATAAAATGCATTAACATAAAAAATGAAAAGATTACTATTTTAACCAGAAGAATATATTTATCATTAATATGAAATTGATGATTAATCATTGTAATATATATATTTATTTAGAGATATTTTGTAAAAGAAGGAATTATTGATATTTGTGAAGAACAAAGTCAATAAGTTATTTAATCAGTAATGAAAGGATAGACATTTGGTGAATATTAATTTTTTACAGGCTTTCCAACAAAGACTTGTGCTTTAAGTAGAACACAAAGTGAAGTAGTATAAATTCATAGATCCAACTTTTTAAAATTAATAAAAGATGAAAAAAAAGACATGGAAAGATTTAATCATATCAAAGATAAAATTTTATTGTATTCAAATTATAACTCTATTTTGCTCAGTTGTAATCTTTGTAATAAAAGTTCACATCTCAATATTAATTGTCCATTACTCACATATTAACCTGATCTAGAAGCTATAATAAAAAAGTCAAATATCATTAAGAATCCATAAAAGAGAATGGGTTATCATAGAAAAGGTGATAAAATAAACACTAGAAGAATGTTGAATACTATTCAAGATTCTCTAAATAAATTTTAATCAGAATGTTAGAATAATTCAGAAGATGAATAATCTAGATATATGTCTCCAGATTACAACAGTCGTATAAATTATAGAAAAAAATCAATTAAGAAACCTCATTAAATGATTTCAATTTCAAATACTGTTAATTCAGATAAGGAATTGATTCCTTCAGATAGGCAAATTTAAATTCTTACATCTAAAGAAAATTTTGAAAAAAGAAAAACTACTCCTTCTAAATTTCTCATATAAGGTGAAGAATCTATATATAAAGAATAAAATAAGGATATGGTTTAAGAATTTGAGACAAAGTTTTAATTCCATAATATCAATATAGATTAAATTAAAATTTTTTAAGAATATATGCCATACAATAATATCAATAATGTAATTAAAGGTCTTGAGTAGATAAATAATACATTTTATTATAAAAATCGATATAAAGAATCTGAAAAATATACTTTTAATTATTTAGCAAAATAACAATCTTTTAATTTAAGAAAATGGTATGATAATAAATTTAAATGATATTCTTTTTATATGTATATATTATGAATGTTATAATTATTCAAAATTCAAGAATAAGTTATAATAAAATAGAATTATTAATTATATGAGTTTGAATCACTAAAAATTACCATCATTTGACATAATAAGAGTAGCTGGTTCAGGAAGCTTTGGTATGTATAATAGCTAAAATTAGGTTATGTTTTTGAAGCCTATGATCATAATAGAAAATAAAAAGTTGCTCTAAAAAGAATTGAAAAGGTTGGAACTCTTCTTAGTAGAGAATATGAAATATTGTTTGAAGTTAAAGAATGTAAACATATAGTTAAGATTCTTGTATAAAATTCATCCAATCTAGGATTTTTTCTATTCAAGAAATGAGGCGGGGAAATTAATTCAAAATATAGTATTTGAATATATGGAGGATAATCTTGAAAATAAAATTTAAACTTTTATCAAATAAGGAAAAACATTTTCAGAATTGACAATAAAATGTTACATATATTAGATTTTAAAAGGATTATAATTCATTCACTAAAAAGGAATTGTCCATCGTGATCTAAAGCCGTAAAACTAATTACTTAAATCAATAGTGAGAATGTTCTGATAAATAATAAAGAAGAAGTCAAATTGTGTGATTTTGGAAGTTCTAAATTGATTACTTCCTCGAGTCAAAACACTCCTTATATAGTTTCTCGTTATTATCGTGCACCTGAATTGATATTATGTTTAACAAAATATGGTGTTTCAGTAGATATATGGGCATTAGGTTGTATAATGGGAGAATTAGTAATAAAAGAAGCTCTTTTTAAAGGAAAAAGTGAAGGAGATCAATTATTTGCAATATTAAAGGTGATGGGTAGTTTAAGTACAAAAGATGTAGAATACTTTACAAGTAGAGTTCCTTTTGATAATAAATAAATATTTAAGGAACTCTCTAAATATAAAAAATAAAATCTCAGATAAAAATTTAGTTAAATAAAAGATTTAGATAATTATTTAGATTTATTAAAGTAAGAAAATCAATATAATGTTTTAGTTCAATGTTATAATATAATCCTGAAAAGAGAATCAGTGCATAAGATGCACTTAAACATCCATTTTTTAAAGATGTAGCAAATGAATGATAATATATTTACAATAAAATATTTACTAATGTATTTAATGTAAATCATTTATCTTAAGCTTCTCTGCAACTAACAATCTTCTCTTCTCCCATAGCTGAAAGGACAGCAATCAACAAATCCCTGAATATAAATATGAATATATACTTTCCAGCATCAAATTAATCTCTAATTTCTTTAACCAAGTTGAAATCATCTTCAGTTTCAGGTAATTTAAGATCTTCCTTTGTTGATCCATCTTCATTCATAAGAATGACAAAGCCATCAGCTTGAATATCCATTAAAGTATATTCCTTTTTAGTAACAAATGGAACATCAATATTATGAGATGTTGGTGCTGAATCTTCATAAGTCTTATTTGTGAATATATCTTTTCCAACAATGGATGCCTAAAAAAATATGAATTATATAGAAATACTTTAGCATGACCATGTTTTCCTGCTTTAGATGTTGAAACATCTGTAATCTTGCAAGGATGTCCTTTTAGCATGACATATCCTCCTTTTTTTAATGATCCTGCACTTTCTGTGTAGGTGTGGGATGATCCAGCATTTCCTTGCTCAAATTGATTTTCGTCGTCAGACATTTTTAATTATTTAAAAATTTTATTTTAAATCAGGGATTCGAGAAATATTATGAATAACACTATATCAGAATAAAAATTCTATAAATAATTCAGAATAAGTTGACCTATAATTAGTTAACTAAACTCATTTAGCTTAGCGTAATATTAATCGATTCATTAATAACTCTTTCCAACAATCAAATTCTAAATTTTCTATATGAGACACATCTCTATGAATTCTCTATTCTTTATAACATGTATATGGATATTTCCAATCTAAATTATTTGTTGTCATTATATCCAATTATGTTCTAATATAAAACATATTAATACTTGTATTCTGTAGTTGATATTTGATCTGATTATATATAATTTGAACTCTTTTGATTAATTAGATCAATCCATTAATTTCTCTTATTATGTTACAATAAAGATCTATAAGAAGTTTATTAAGATTGTTAATGAATAATTGATTATTATTGCTTCATTAAGTATGATTATTATTCAGTTTTTCTAATGGTAAAGTCTGCAGGAGTATGTAAAGAAGTACTTGGTGTTTTTTTCATATGTTTTTTAATATATTTCTTAGCAGATTTATGAGCCAATTCTGTTAACACATTTTTAAATGATACATTTTAAGGCATTATAACCATTGTATTCTCATAAGATGATTTCAATTTAGTATCGCTTATTAGATTTTTAACATCTTTTTTTGATTTTGGACAATAAAATTGCTTCTATTAGGTATCACATCTATCATGTGTATAGATTATTGGTTATTTATTGAATGAAGAAGTTCTCTTTTTAGCATTTCCTTTATTCATTTACTCTAATTATTATCTTAAATTATTATTCATTTTAAATAATCAATAAATATCAACATCAAAGGAATATTTTTATTTATTATATATTTATAGATAATCATGATTTAACTCTAAACACATATCCAATCAAATTATAAATATTTTTTAATCTATCTAAATTCAAATACTTATCTAATATCTTAAGGCTATGATTTACTGAATTTTAACTTATCTAATTTTTGTTTTCACTTATAAAAATATAAATTTCAATGATCCATTCTCAATTTATTTAATATTTTGTTGAATACAATTTTTATTAGATCTCATTTTCAAACATTCAATTTCTAACACTTATTTATATTAATTTATCTATCAATATTCTTATCTAATTAGTTTCCCCCATTTAAAAGCTATTTATGGCTTTTGATAATTTACTAAATTTTAATAATAAAACTGATAAAATAAATAATTACTAGTAAAAATAGATTAAGTTCGGTTTTATTTGAGAATGACGTTGAGCTAATTCATTTTTTATTCTCAAATTTTAAGCTACTCTTGCTTTTCTATCTTAATTTTTAATTTAATCACTAATAATTGTGTTGCTATTCAAAATATTTCATATTATTATTATTTGTATTAAATGACTTATCTTAAAATACAGCTACTATTGTAAGATAAGCATGACTTTTTAATTTCATTGAATTGCTTTAAATTATATAATTATTTGTTTCTATACTTTTAAGCTATTAATTACAAAAATATTTAGTCATTAAATTAAATAAGAAATAGATTATTTGTCTCTTGAATCATTTTATTCTTTGTATAAGAAAATAGATATGATTACAAACTGACTTTTATGCAGTTTGAAAATAATATGGTTTTACGATATTGATTCTATATGAAATAGGAAATATCAAATGAAGTCCTTAAACATTAGTCACCAAGCAGGACTAAATGGTGATTCTTCAAGTACATAATTCCTCAAAGTTACTCCTTGTGTACCCATCATTCTAGCTATTTCCATTTCATGGTTTAGCAACATAACATCCATCGGTGCAGTTTCATATAAGGGCTTAGTTAATTGCGCAAATAATGAATATTCTTATAGTTCTGGGGTATATTAATTATTCATTTCTATTAATTCATCGTTCTACTCTAGTCTTAATTATGGCCAACCATACCAAATTTGTTCTTCCCTCTAAGTTATGTTTGAGCTTAGGTACTAAATATTGTAAGAATCAGAATCAAGATGACCAACTTCATGGTAATTTAATTAATAATTAATTTAAATCCGTTTTTTTTATTCATAATTCAATACAATCAATTTAGTCTCATTAGTACTAGCATCTATTAATGTAAGAAATTTATGGTATTAATTATTTAATATCAAATTTAAATAATTTTCTATGTTAAATAAAAATTAAGATTAATCAAATAACTAAACTTCCATTTCTTTAAGATCTAATTAAAAAAAAAATGTTTATTATTTTTTGATCTTACAAAATTACTGAATGATTATATAGTTTATAATGTTTACTTGATTTTGCATCACCCTATTTATTTTTCTTATTTATATTTTTATATGTTGATAAGATTATGGTTTACATTTTTTTTAAATTAAAATTTATATTTTAATCTCGCTTTTCCATTTATTTTTTTCTTTGAATTTATAATTATTTTAATCGAGAATATTTATAGAGAATTTTAATTGAATTAAAATCAAACAATTTGGGATGAACTCTTTAATTTAATCTTTTGAATTAAAACAAAATTGGATATATTATAAAATTGATTATACTTTTTTAGTGAATCTGATCTTTGGTTATGACTTAAAGATTTTTAATTTAAATCACTCTTTATTTATAAAATATATTATATTTTACTTAAGCAACAATGTGATTCTAGTATAAATATAAATTAATATAAAAAATAATATATTAATATTATTAAATACAATTAGATAATAATAATAATAAGATTGTAAAGGGATAATAATTTTAGAATAATATGCTTTAAAGAATTAGATTATAGATTAGATCATTAATGTATAAAATTTTATTATTTATTAATTTAATTAAATTATTAATATTCATTTAATTTTATTAACATTATTAACAAAATATATATATATGATATTTTATCTTATTTTATGAATAAATTTAGATATATATATATTTAATCTTTTATAAAATATCATTAAATCAATTCTAAATTCCAAGCTTTTCAGTCAAAACTAAAATAAATATTATAATTACTTTTTCTTCTCAATTTAGTTGGAACTTTTCTTTCTTCTAATGTTTTTCTAAATCTTTAATCTAATTAATTTTTATCATTGCTCACATCTAAATATAGAATTAATGATTCAAATGTCTATTCATTTGATTATTGGAAAAATATTTATTATTCTTTCAATATTTTAGATGACTCAAGATAATTAGATTTAGATTTATTTCTTAAAGGAGTCTCTATTACTATAGATTCTGCTTTTGGTGATTGACTTTAAGGTTCTTGATCAACAATTTGTTCTGCTTCCACAATCTATTTAATTGTTTTGATATCAAGTTTTCCTTTTTAAGATTTTAAATTAACTGCAACTTTATTAAATATAACACTTCCCTTAATTGAAATTCTATGTAATGCTTATAAAAATTCATCGTAATTCATTCCTGGTGGTATACCATCTATAACTTCTTTAGATCTAGTTAAATATCTAAAAAGTTATAGAACATCATCTTTAGATACAATTTCAGGACAAAGATTAAATCTATCTGTAAACCAGGCAAAAGTCTTAAAAGTAATTTATTCTCTTGAAGATGGTTAACCAATTGGTAGAAATGTCTCTTTAATTAAGAATTAGAATAGAGAATTCAATCCAAATTAATATTTCTCTATTATTTTTTGATATGATGTAGATTTAAATTTATTCTCAATCTCTTTTTCTAAATTCTTTTATTCTTATATTCTTGATTGATTTTAAGTTAATATTTTTGATCTTGCTTATTCTAGTAAATATTTTTATTTTTTCAATTAATCTTATTTTTCTTTTTCTGATTATTATTATTTGTTTTATCCTTATGATATTATTTCTTTTAATTTTGTTATTTATTTTTAATTAAACTCTTAAAAATTATGTTTCTTCATTTAAATTTCTTTTTCTTTTTTATCTTTTTCTTCTAATATTCTTCTCAATTATTCTTCTTTTTCTTTCTCATTTTTTTCTTTGATCTATATATATAATAAAATATATATACTTTTTATTTCTATTCAGTTAGATAATTCATACGTTTATCTAATTATTCTTTTTTCAAATTATTTTCAGTTTTATTTTTTTCTAATCTTTCTCTTTCTAATGATTGTTATAATTATTTCTATTTTTCTCTTTCTTCTTTTAATTTATCTTTAATTTCTTTTTCTCTTTACTTTCTCAATTATTCTTTTTTCTATTCTTATAATTCCTATTCTAATTATTATTATTTTTTATCTTCTAAAACTCTATTAATAATTTAATTTTATCTTGTAGCTTATTATTTATTATGTTCTATTGCAAATATCATATCATCAAGTAGATTAGCAACATTTTCAGCAATGAATTTATCTTTAAGATTACATTTAGCAATAGCCAATTTCATATTTAATGATAATTCCCTTTTAGGTTCAATTTCAAGAACTTTTTTCTTTTATAAACTTATATTGACTTCCTTTGTTTTTTTATGTTTAATTTTAAATTAATCATCTGTATGTTCTTATTACAATTTAGATTAAATATATCCAAAAGCATCAGGTTTAGCCTTAAATACAATTACTTTTTTAGAAATTGGTTCAATAATATTAATTCTATTTAAATTATAATTTTATATACCCCAAAGCATCTCTTAATAAATCATTAAGAATTTAATATGGTACATGAACATTATCATCAAGTACAGGCATTTCATATGAGAATTGGATTTCAAAAGTTGTAATCTTCTTATATCCTTATGGTAATTCATAATTTGGATCTATTAGTAATTGTTAATTGAATTCTTTAATAATCTAAAGTTGTAATGATATGTACATCATTTTCCATAAAATATTAAGATTCTGGATCATCAAATAAAGCAGTACTTTATCCTTTGGAAGCAGTCACACTTCTTAAATGATTAATAAATTTAATTAAACATTAATATGGTTGTATATCTGCTAATTTATTCTTAGATAATACTATAGATAATTAAATCACAAATTAATTAAAACCTATTTAATCAAATTCTTTAAATTCAGTTTTATTATGTAAAATTTAAGTTCCTACTTACCTTGCTAAAGCTTATACATTTTCAATTGATATGGCAATTTCATAATCATGAATAAATTTACTTATTTCTGCAATATTTATACTTTCAGTCCTCTATTAATATTAATCAAAAGAATTAGGTTATTTCATTCCTTATAAACAAGTATTAGCATATTTTGTAAAAATATATCTAAAAACTTTAGTATATTTTCTTAGAATCTATTCTACCATTAATTTTTCTATCTCTTCCTCTAAATTCAAATCTAATAATTCAAATGTTACTAATCCATGTTTCTTTTCTTTAGCTAACTCAGTTTGTCTACTACCATCAGGAAATAATAACTTAACAGTTACATCTTTTTAATTCAAAGATGCAATTCCTTATTCAATTTATCTTTTCTCTAATTATCTTCTCAATTTCTCTTTTTTCTATTTTAATTATTCTTCTTAAGTAAACTTTGATATCTCTTTTTCTAATTGTTTCTCTTAATATTATTTTTTTATAGTAGAAATATCATTAATAACTTTAGGATCAGTTTCTTTTGGCATTCTCAAACTAGCCAAATGATATTGTTCTTCTTTTGTAAGTTTAATTTTAGAGAATTTCTTTAAATTTTCTTAAACTTATTATACTTCTTTAACAGATGATTCTGAATAGATTTATTTATTAGTTTATGCTTCTTAATATTCTAATTCAACTTATTACATAATTTCATTTATATCACCAAGTAAAGATAAAAGTATTTATAGTCCTTTATTTTATTTAGATATCATTTTGAATTATAAATTTGTATGGCCAGCCATCATTTTAATTACTAAATTAATATTTTCATTATTAATTTATGCTAAACTTTTTAAAACTTCAATTATTTAAGCTTTTCTTTATTTATCTACAATTTATTAATTTGGTTTTTTTTTATCAGATTTTTTATGTACAGAAAAATAGACAGCAAGACTTATTTTAACAAATTTTTATACAAATTCTTAAGTACTTGGTGTATTTTATGTATTTGTAACCATTTAAAGAAATATTTAAGATGCAATACGATAATGTAATGTATCATAAATAGCTATTTTAGATAATAAATCCATCAATTATATTTATGATTTAGTTGTTAAATTTGGATTATTAGCAACATTTCCAAGAAAATTAAAAACAAATAAACTAGGATATGTTTTCTCTTGTAAATTTACAATAAATGGATCTAGAACTATAGATAAAGGAATTGTAGGCATAGTTTAAAAAACTATTAATAGATTTTACAATATAAAATGTACTAAATTTTCATTTGTTAATTCTACAAGCTAAATGGCAATTCTATAATTAAATATTTTTTTACATTTTATATAAAATTGGAGCTTCTGGAATTTTATTTTTTCCAAAATACTCTAAAGCAGAAAATAGAAATTATATTGAAAATATAGCTACACATTCTCTTGGATCTGTTGTTGCTATTTTAAAAACATTATGAACTCTTTCTTAATATTATTAATATTGATTTTTTAGCCAAATATTATGAATGAGTCTTAAAATACATATTTTTTCATCTGATTTTAAAGTATTTGTATTTTCAAGAATTTCTAAACCTTATTCTAACCATTGTTGCATTATACCCATAGATTAAATTTCTAAAATATAGTCAGGTGTAAGTGAATTAAATAATTTCTCAACATTTACTAACATTTCTATGTTATTTGCACTATGTTATTTCAAAATTGAAGTAAAAAGATCAACTAAATGAAATTTACAAAATAATATCATTAAATCAACCAAAGAATCTACTAATTATGGATGTCTTTTTATTGATAAAAGTGTTGTTTAAAAACATGATTCAACATACCATTAATATATATCTTCTTTATATGAAATCTTATTATTATAAGCTTATATAACAAAATTTCCAAGGGTTTTTATTGTTTCAATGCATACTTCAGGTGATTTAGAAATCAATCCTGGTTTTAAGAGATTTAATGAAAAAGCTAATGCTTTATCTTTTTCCATAGATATCAGATTTTATAAATGTTCAACAGATAAAAAGATATCTTTATAAATTGAGATTATTGGTTCATAAACTCTTTGAACTCCTTTTGTAACAATTTATGCCCAAAATTTAAAATTTTCTGCATATAATGATATTACTTATTTGTATTACAAATTTAACCATTTTGACAATAATTATGTAAAGTATTCCAATGTATTTGAATCAGATATTTAAATTTACTCTTGTGATTAACTAAGGTTTAAATGGTTATAACCTTAAACTTATGGTTATTATTCAGATAAAATTCTATTTCTATGATTTGGGGATGTTTTTGATTTACTTAATCTGACTTATTGCATTTTTAGATAGAAATCAAATAATTAATTTAAAGTATCTTCAATTACTTAAACATCTCCCATCAATATCAATTTTTTAATATCATTATTTATGTCATTAGGTATTTATAATTAATTTATTGCATTTATGATTATGTTCCAATTATATAACTTTGTTGATGCTGTAGTTATTTGTTTTAGCTAATCTAATTGAACTATTGGAGTCAGAGTTCTCATAATATGGATGTTTAATACCTTTATGAAATCTCTTATTTTAAATTATGTATAGATTTAACTAACTTGCCTACTGCTATTCCATTTTCAACTAAGTTTTATTATGATTCTGTTAAAATTATAGGATTTTTATTGGCTTGTTTGATTGTTTCAAACACTTTTAAAGATGACAAGTGATTATATAGTGCATATGATAATTTCATAGTTATTAATAATATATATATATATATGAATATTAATTATTAGACTTTTTATGAATTATATATATTTTAAGAGTCAAGAAATAAGTTATGAATTGTTAGATAGAATTAATAATATTAGATTTGTAAATTTGAAATATGAAAATATGAATAATAATGATTATTATTAAAGGATTAATATTATATCATATTAGTAATAAATAAAAAAAAATTCAACATGTAATTTTTCGAGGTTATTTGTGATCATCATCATATTATTCAATTGTAGTTTGGCTTTTCGATTTTATACTAGAGTTCTTTACATATTTAATTATAATTACTTCTAAAGTGGTTTAAGAAGTACCTTTAGATCGACAGCCTATTTCATTACCATCTAGTTAACTTTTTGCAATGAAAAATACCATAATATCACTTTCGACTATTGTTTAATAGCTATTATATGATTGATTTAATACCCAAAAATTCGATTTAAATAGTCTTGTAACTAAGATTTTCTCTCACGTAAATCAGTAGCATCTGAGATATTTACTAATTTTTTTTCAGGAAAATTAGGCAAAGGAAAATCAAGATGAATACTTTTTAATTGTCTATGATAATCTCTTAAGTCTTAGAAGCGCTAAGTAAATTTCCAACTTTTGTTTGTAATAGTATCTGTTACTTAGATTGTATATAATGCAGAATCATCAAATATTATATGATCTTCAAATTTAAATATATATTACTATCTAGAAATATTAGAAGTTAATACTTGTTTTGTAACTCAATTTTTTTTTGAGGCAATGAAAATATTGAATCTCCATGTTTTGCTAAATAGGATTCTTTGAGTTATTGTATTTCTTGCCATCTTCTATCAATAGGTTGATCATTTTATTTCTATGTACTTATTTTAGGATCTTTAGGAAGCATCTCTTCAATTACTCCTAAACAATGTAATTCTGGACAGGAAAGAATTTCATTCAGATATTATTATAATTCTCCTCTCTTTAAATACAATCAAAGTTTACTCGCTTAATAATGCTTTCTTCACTCTAATTTGTATGAAACAAAAACTTCTTTTTAGGAAAATTTATCATTGGAATCTTTATTTTGAATATATGAATCCATTCTAATATTTTTTAATGCATGGACTCTAATTCAGAATATCTTTTTTTTATCTCTTTAGGTTAACCTCCTTCCAAGTTATATACACTTATTGTATAGTATACTTTCTTATCAATAATATCATGTTTAGGTATTTTCACAGAATATCTTTGAACTGATTGTTTCATTTAATTAATTATAAATTCAATTTTAAACAAATTTAGTACAATTGCATCAGCGTAATCTATTCTGCAAACCTTTCATTTTCTAAAATTACCTTAATTAAATATTCCCAATCATTAATCAACATACTAAACTTATAAAATTAACACATAAAAATTTCTAGAATTTATAAAAAAGTACAAAATTGTTTTCAATTGTTTACACATCTATATTAATTTAATTAAATAAATATATATAAAGAATACAAAGGATTCTTATAAATAATATTATTTTCTTATTTAATTCATACTCATTAATTAAATGATTCAATAAAAATTGTTAAAAATCTATAATATAAATTGTAATTCTAGAATTTATAGAAATTTTAATTAGAATTTGAATTAAGTTAAAATAATACACATACAATTAATATTATCATACAAATTTTGAATTTTTAAAGTTTTTTAATGGATTAACTATATTGGAACTATTATTGAAATAAAATATTTATATATATATCAGATCTAAATAGAATTCAAGAAAAATTTAGTTATTAATACAATAAAATTTATAACAAATCATTAAATAAATGGGGAATGCTTGTAGATGTCATTAACACTAAGATATTATTAATGAAGAACAAGAATCTAATAATCCAGAGGTATATCAACCAAATACTGATAAACCAGAGGATGATAAATGTGAATAATAATAATCATTTTCAAAATGGAGAAATATTTAAGAAGGTTTAATTTAAAATCTAATTGAGATGATAACCTACCACTTCCAGAGTTTAGGGAAGAAGTTGCAAAATCTAATAATGGAAGCCGAATTCATTTACCTCCTGTAACAATGAAATCAGGGAATATGTAGAGTTTATGAACTAGCTTAGTTATGAGGGAGAATGGCTAAATTAGTAAAAAGATGGTAAAGGAAAATTCACTTGGAAAGATGGCAGTTACTTTGAAGGAGATTTTGTTTAAGACAAAGCATAAGGAATAGGAAAATTAGTGCATGTTAATGGGGATTCATATGAAGGAGAATGGAAGAATGATATGGCTCATGGTCATGGAATTTTCATTCATTTTAGAGGAGTAAAGTATGTAGGATAATGGAAATACGATCTTTAGGATGGAGAAGGATAAGAAACATGGCCTGATGGTACTGAATATAAAGGAACTTACAAAGAGGGGAAAAGACATGGACAAGGATATATGTAATTTTAAGATGGTTCTAAATATGAAGGGAATTTTGAGAATAATGAAATTTGTGGATATGGTTGTTATACATGGAAAGATGGTAAATAATATAAGGGATAATGGTTAAATAATAAAATGCATGGTATTTAGAATTATAGAAATTATTAAAGGTCAAGGAGAATGTATTTGGAAAGATGGTAAAAGTTATAAAGGAGAATATGCAGATGATAAAAAGAATGGTTATGGAGTATTCACTTGGGCCAGTGGGAAAAGATATGAAGGATATTGGTAGGATGGTAAATAACATGGAGATGGAATTATAATTAATGCTGAGGGAGTTAGAAGAGAAGGATTATGGGAATATGGTAAACCAAAGAATTTAGATTGATTTTATTTTTATCTATGACACTGTTAAAATTGAGAGATTGATTATATATAATTATCTTTATATAAATAAAAATTCAAAATGGATGATGTTGATGGAAATTATATTGAATGTTTAAGCTAAGGAGGTTCATCTCCTTATAAACCTATGGATAACTTATTTTAAATCTATTCAGATAAAGTTGGCAATAAAACTGAATAATAACGAAAATTCTTTAGTGGATAAAAACAGGTTACCGAACCTATTGAATAATTTAATAATAATGTCATTTCAAATTCTGACAGCAAAGCAAAAGTATAAAACTAGGAAGCTGTTTAAATTTAACTGATTTCATTTTATGAATAAAACCTCCAAAACTTAAAGTAGATGGTTATAGATAAAGATGAAGATATGAAAATAAGAGATGAAAAGATTCTTGAACAATCAATTCTTATTAATCTAATAATAACATAATATAACAAGATTGTCAATTTATTATAATAGGAAAGAGATGAAATTTTTGAAAAATATATGGAAGCAATGGATGAAATACAAAATCAAAGTCAAAAATATTAACAACAATAAAATTAATAATAATAGTAACTTTAATCTATGTAATAAAAAATCTAATAATAATTGCAATAATAATTTACACAACATATACAAAATTTTTAAGTTCCTATAGATTATGACTCAAAATTAATAGAATTACACGAAGCTAAATAATAGATCAACCACTATAAAAACTAGTGTTTTAATCTAGAAGTTAAAGTAAAAGAAACAGAAGTGAAATTAGAGGATTCAAATTTAAGATTGAATGAAGCATATATTAGAATTGATCTACTTGAAAAAGAAACGAGAAATGTTTAATAATAAAATGTATATATATTTATATGACTTATAGGTTATGTTAGATAAATAGTTTAAATCATTATTATAACAATTTGAATAGTATTAATAAATTTAGAAAAAACAAAGTTAATAATTTTAATTTCGAGAAGCCACAAATATGATGAATAGTGTATATAGTAATTAATCAAATAGTAGTGAATAATAAATTCTTCAGAATATAAATTAGAATGCTTCTAAACATGAAGGATTGCAAGAAAATGATAATTTAATAAATGCTTATACTTAATTTAAAAAATAGAACAGTCTTAAATAATTCAATTAGATGTTAGTTTAATCTTAAATTAAATAATAAAATGGTAAATAAGATCCATAATAAATAACTTATAATTAAGGAGGAATTTTAAATTTTCCATCTGATTTTCGTACTTAGTAATAAAAGGATTTAGAATTGCAATTAACAAATTAATTAAATGAATTAACAATTAAGAAATAAACTTTAGAAAGTGAATTAAATAAAAAGATTAATATATCAAAAAGTGCTTTAGAAAGAAGAAAAAGGGAATAACTTGAACAAGAATTGGATTAAATTTAAGATTAAATCAATAAAGTTAGATTAAAATTAAGAGAAAATAAATTTATTTGATATTTATACTTGTTTAACATTTATAATTTAATAAATACATAGATTAATTATTCAAAATATATATATAAGTAAAATTAATTAAATTTTTTCAAAATATATTATGCTCATATAATAAAAATTTAAATATCATTTTTTCGTTTATTGTTATAACTTTTATTATTGCTTTTATTATGCTTTCTCCAATAATCCTTCAAGTTGACCTTTTCGTTGAGCCATCTTAAAAAGTTCTAAAATAAATGGAATATAGTTGTGTTTCCTTCTTGAATTTTCTTCCTAAGAGTGATAACTTGGAAAAAAGTACTTTATATTTTTAAAACTTTGCATTTTCCTCGTTAAGAGTAATTTATGCTTCTTAAATTCTATTTTTGGCAAGATTTAATCTATTCAATAATTCTTCTTAAGATTCTTGTAGTAATTCTTATTCAATATTCTTAAATGTATAATAGTATTAAATAATTTACTTATTAATTTGAAATTTGAAGTAATAATTATTTTTATTCTTCTGTTAAATCTACTCCCATGAATTACAAAGTTTTGAGACTCAAGAATATTTCATTTTATGATTATTCAATTATTTTGTTAGCCTAAATTATTTATGGATGATACTTTGAATCTTCTACATTAATTGACAGCTAATAAAGTAAAGGCAGTTTCTTTTTCTTAGTAATGTTAAATCCTATTTAATATAGCTTCTTTTGCTCTAACAATCCAATCATCTTGATATTCACCTATCAAAATGGGTCCTTCTTGGAGACCATCTAATTCATATACTTTTCCTTTGAAAGGGATATAAGAGACAAAGTGAAATACATCATCACCTTCCTAGAATCAAAAGTGGAACACTTACTTTAGCTTTTTTCTTATCATTAGAGAAAATAAAGGGTTCAGGTCTAGCAAAGCTATTGTGAGCAGTCTTAATGACATCTACAGCTCCTAAACAATTACCTCTTTCTTTAGGATCTAAAGCAATAGCAAATTCCTAGATGATTAAATTATGTATTACTTTATAATTTTTAAGTGCTTCTCCAATTTCAATTTATGGGCAATTAAGTAAAATAGAAATGATGGCTTGGGTTGCACATGCATTTTAAATAACTTAATTTGCAAAGAAGAGATCTTGATCATAAATTTTAAGACATTCTCTTTTTTCACCTTTACTTGTCCATCTGAATAAGAATATGAATCCATAAATTGGTTGCATTTATGCTATCTATTATTCATCATTTAGATCATAGATCTCTTCTACTTGAACTCCTTAAACTCCAATTGCATTGATAAGCTCAGTGAAAACTCCAGGGTCAGACTCAATTGTACACCACTCTTGCATAAATAATTATATTTATTTAATAAATTGAATGGATAAAGAATAAGTGATACCCACTCTATAATAATAAGAGAAGGAGTTAGAGAAAAAGCGTAGTGGAAAAGGTTTGGAAGAACATTTCAAATTGTTTAATGATCTTTTGAAATTAAAATAAGCATCATATACAAAGGCCATAATAATGCTTATTGTTGCCTTTATCCATCATATAATGAGTTAAATTCGATAGTACCTTAATCAGTATATTCAGATATAAGAACGTGATAAATCTTCATTATAAATCTGAGTCAACAATTCTTGATTAAATAATAGATTCTGGTACCTACTTTGACATTCAAGGTTTACTAAGACAAGACATTACAATAAATTATATAATGTTATCCATATTTTTACTTGCCACAATAGGTAATACCTTATTATATTTGATTCTTTACATACTACAATCAGATGATTATAGAGTAAGAAAAAAGTTTATTGGGAAAGTAATATATGTACTATTTAGAAATTTGTGTAATTATCTGAATGGTACATTTGGATATTCCATTATCCAGCCTTAGTAGTCTTTTTTGAGAATATAGTATGTGGTCCTTCTTTAGATTGTTCAATGAGTTCAGAGAGGAAAATATTAATAGTTATATCTTCATTAGGGTATTAATTAATATTACATCAGAGTATTCTTTGGAATTTTCAATATATTTTTTTTGAGTGTATTCTTCCATAATGACAGTAGTTAAAAGAAGGATTGTTTTAATACAGAAAATTCACTATATTTAGCTATGTTTCATATATTTAGAGCTTTTTAAGCTTTTTTAATTTCATTTAGGTATTAATAAATTTCTATTTAGTTCTAATGAGTATTCTTATTTATGGGTTATGATGATCTGTATATTTTTAGGATATTCATTTTTTCTTTTAAATTGTTTATTCTATAGTGGATATATGGCTTTTGCCACTTCAATTACACGTAATACATTTTTAGTATTATTAATAATAATGGTGTCATCTAGTTTTTCAATGATGATAGATGAATTATATCGTTATAATACAGTAGAAAAATAATTTGAAAATTTCAGTCTTTTTTTTACTTTGTCTTTTATATTTTTAGTTTGTTGTTTTATTTACAATTTAAGAAATTCTAATTATGAAGATATTGATTATGAAAGAGCTAGTGATACAGATTTTTCAAGATAAGTTTTTATTGTAAATTCATTACTTGAAGTTACTAATTAAGATATAAATGTAGATTTATATTTTAAAGGCATTTTATAAAGACATATGGAATAAGAATGTAGACATACAATAATATAGGGAGAAGGGAGATGTTTTTGTAAAAAGAAGAAAACATTTGATTCTAAGAAAAAGAAAGAAGTAATGTTAGATGATTGGCTTATTTATAAAAATATATTTGTCAAGTTTCTAATAAAATCATGGATTGAAACTAAATTAATGGATAATCCAAATTCTATTGAATTATAATTATTATATGCTCGTTTTATGTTCTTTAAATTTCAAAATCATTAAATTTCATTACATATTTTGAATGGATTAGAAAAACGATTTTTATTTGTTATAAATAGATATAAAGCATATTAATTAAAAATGAAAATTATAAGATATATAAAACATAGAAATTAAGAAAGTTATAGAGAGAAATTAGAAATATAGAATGCTTTATTTATAGAAGATTTAATTGAAACAATAAAATAGAATATTAATCATATAATGATATAAAATTGTGCATTTTGGAAATGTTTATAGAAAGAAGTAATAGATTTATAGGAATTGGATGAATTACTTAAAAGTTAATTTGAAAAGATTGAATAAACAAATAATTTATGGGTATAAATATAGAATTATTTGGATTTCAAAAAGAAATGGAAATTTTATTATGCTTGGTTTACTTTATATATATAAAATAAGAAATTAAAAAATAAAATATTAGATAATTTTTAAGGATTATCTGTTAATGAAAATGATATATTTTCTGAAGAAGTATAAGAAAATAATTTAGAAGAAGATATTGCTAGTGTTAAATCAGATTAAGAATAAAAATTGGATATGGATAAAATAGATATAAAAAGCAAGAAAATTATATTTGATAAAAAAGCATGTATTATATAAACTACAGATGATCCTGATGCTCTAATTATTAAAGTAAATAAATAATTTACAAAAATATTTGGATATACAAATGAAGAAATATCTAATAAATTTTAAATAACATAATTAATGCCTGATATTTATTCAAAAGTACATCCATCTTTATTAAATGATTATAAATTAACAGGTAGAGGACATTCTTTATATTCATAAAGAAAAGTATATTGTATACATAAAAGTGGTTATATGTTCACTGCTTAAAAGTTTCTAAAACTTTATATAGATTTAAATGGATAATCATAATTTGTAGTAATGATTAGACCAACTGATTTAAATAATGAAAAAAAACATGATGTAATAATATTAAATTAAGATTGGGAAATAAATGGTATGACTCCTAATGTGATTTAATCATTATAAATAGATTAATCATTATTTTAAAAATAGAAAATTTAAACATTAATAAATATATTGTTATTTGCACCTAAATTAATATAATTTAGTAGAGCATGTTAATTAATTAATGAAGAGACTGATTTAGAATTATTTGGTATGCAAAAAATTAAAAAGAAAAAAGATGAACCTTTAGGTAAATCTATTAAACGTGTTAATAATATACCAGGATAATTTAAAATATAAGTTAATATGACAAATTCAGGTTCTAATAATTTAATACCTGGTAAAAGTACAAATGCATTACATTCTGATGTTGATCTTTCATCAAATTATTTATAAATGCAATCTTTAGATGTTCCAGATGATAATAAATAATTTTTATAATAAACTAGTAATGTTAGTGAAAAAAATGATGTTTAAGATTTTAAACATTAAATTGATTAATATTCTGAAATGTAAAAAGATATAAATGAATAATAAAATAAAAAAGTTGATGAATAAATTAAAAAAATGTATGAAACATAATTTTAAAGTAATTATAAAAGAATTTAAACTAAATTTGATAATAATGCTCATGCAAGTGGAGGAGGAGATGCAAGTGATGATAATATGAGCAAAGATGAAATTATTAAATAAAAAGGATAATTTGTTTTAGATGGTAAAGTAAATAATGGAGAACCTATATCTTTTCATATGAAATTATCAGATAAGTTTTTAGCTGCATGTAAACACTATACAGAATCTAAATATAAACTTTATTAAATCAAAAAATAATAAGATGATGTATTTATTTATTTATAATTTAAGCATGTTAAATAAGAAGAAAAATAAGATAAAGAAAGAGAAAAAGATAAAGGGAAATCTAAAGTTAATGATAAAAAATTATTTGTTAAATAAGGTACATAATAAAGAGAATTTAAAAAAAGAGCTAGATTAATGTTTTAAAAAGCAGCTGAAAGAAGAAAGAATGATGAAGATAGAGGTTATTATGATTTAATCAAAGAGATATATTAAGATATCTTAAAAGATTAATAAAAAGTTAAATCATTTAAAATTATTTGCACAATTTCATTTTATAAAATAAGAGATGAACGAATTGGAATAATGAAAGTTTCTAACATTTCAGAAATACTTAAAAATAAAATTCGTTAAAATGTTCGTAAATAATCTTATATGATATTAAATAAAGGATTATCTAGAGGTATTCTATATATATTTATTATAAATTTTAGAAATGTCAAGACTTAAAAGTATATAAAATAATGATGGTGCTAAATTCTTAACAATGACTAGTGATGGAGAAAGTAAAATTGTTTCACCTCATTAACCATAATCTTCTCCAACCAATTCTAATGTTAAAATCAAAGTAGCATCTAAATCAAATGGATTGGGATATTAATTATAAAAAGAAGATAATTTAGAAGATTAGGAAGAAAAAGATGCTTTAGTTGATTTTAAAGGATAACCAAAAATGATTAATTGGGAAACTTTTTAAAATTAATTTAAAATGTAATAAGGTACTTAAAGTTTTTCTTTAAATGTTCTTGATAATATATTTAGAAAAGAGGATAATAATAAACCTAGAAAATTACTAGTTAAAATTTCATATCTTACTTGGTTTCTACGTTTCATGTATGTTACAATATTAACATTAAATTTAATCACATATTTTCTTAAACCGTATTCAGTAAACTTATTATTATTATTATATAATAGGACTTTTTACCAATTAAAACTTAATCTGCTCGTATTTTACAATTATCTCAAATGTAAACCTATATTATTGAAGCCTATGATACAGTTATGGATATATTACTCTACAAAAATGCTGATTTTCAGAATTTATTAGTAGAAGGAGTAGCTCTTGATACTTAAGATAAATTTTTTACTTATCAAACCTTATAAATTGATTAAGGATATGAATATTTAAAATTACAAATTAGAGATCTTAATTTATAAGAAACATTTTTAGATGAATCTATATTTCATAGTAATTCTATTACTGATTAAACTATTACTTAAATTCAAAATGTGCCTATTATTTTAGATTATAAGGATGTATTTACAAAGATAATTCTTGTTGAACATTAAGTATCTATTTTAACTTCTGATGAATTGATTAAATTAAATGAATCAAATTCTTTGGTTAAATATATGAGAAATGTTACTGTTCCAACTTTATATTTAGAATTTAATAATGCAGTTATGATTTTAGAAGATATTCTTATTAATAAAGCTAGTTCAATGTCAGATTTTGTAATTATTATTTTAATTTTGGAATCATGTATATTTATAATTGGATTTTTTGGATTATTACTTATTATTTTATGGATTTGTTAGACTTTTAAAGCAGTATTAAAAATGTTTATAATGATTAAAAAAAACGATTTAAATAAGATTGTAAAATAATAATAATTTGTTTAAACTTAATTTTAATATATATTAAATAAAGATGATGAAATATCTGGCATATTACAATTAAATGATAAAAAACTATAAATTAATACTAAAACTAATTTCTAATAATAATAAAATTTCCTACTTATTAATGAAGTTGAAGACTAAAACCTTACTAAAAGAAAGGATAAGTAAATTCTTGAAAAGTAATTACTTAAAAAATTAACTATTAAAATGTCTTTAATCTATATCTTATATGTTTTATTTTCATCTTCTGCATCCTTAGTATTCTTCTTAACATTAAGCAATTCCTCATAATAAATTACACTATTAATTACTACAGGTGCTGATTCCATTTAAGATTTTAGTGATAGTTAACTTTTATTGGTTTCAGTCAAAGAGAAATATTTCAATCCTGATCAATATAATTAAAATTGCTTATAATAAATTTAGACAATTTTAGAAGAATAAATTACTGATATCAAAAGTACTCCTTCTATTGAAGATCCAAATTATGGAACATATTATACAAGTTTCTAATCTATTTATTTTGGCAATTTATGTTAATATCTTTAAGAAAATTCTTATTTGAGTTAAATAGCTGCTGAAGATTGTTAGACTATTCTGAATGGTAAACTAAAACAAGGAGTAGTGGCATTTAATTAATTATATTCATCTGTGACTGAAGGTAATAATTTATTTATTTTTAGATTATGTTTTAAATAAGGAAAGTCGATTTGGATAGATAAATTTAGAAACTATTTGGTAATATAATGTAGCCATAGATTATGTTAAATCTGCCTTTAAAGCTTTACTAACTTCTTGGTCTAATGATCTAGGGGATCTAATTGATCAATACTTTACTCTTATACTAGTTTTGTTGATTGTCATGGTAGTATTTTAATTACTTGTTTTTATAACCATAGCAGAAATGTATTTAGTTAATCAATTAAATAAATCTTTTCAATTCTATAGGAAAATATACAAATCTTATATGCCTAATGATATCATACAAAAAGAGAAAATAATTAGAGCTTCACTTATCAAATATAGTATTATTAAAAGATGACTAACTAAAATATTTATGATATTATTATATATTATCTATATAATGACTTACTTGAGATAGATCTTTTTTAACATTCATTTTCTCAATTCAAATAAATACATTAATTAATTATAAAAATTAAAATTAAGCTTTGTATGAAAAGTATTATATATTTAAAGTTATGTAAATACTCAAAATTAATTTCTTTCCATTTTATTAATTAATGGTAATCGTTTCTAAAATAATTAAAAAAATATCTAATCTAATACATTGTTTAATAAAAGAAACTAAAAAAACTAAATCAGAAAAAGTACTCAAGCGTCTTAATCGAATTTATTTTAATGTTATTTAACTCAACAGTTATTTATGATTGACACTATAAAATAATTTTTTGTGTTAATAACAATAAAAAAATGGACTTAATGAATAAACTTACATTATAATTTAAGGCTGCAGATATTGAATTAAAATATTAAAAACAGTCAATTTAAAAATCACTCAAGCCTCTCCATTTTGGTCTCCTTTTAATGTCATTATTATTGAATACAATTTAGATAATTAAAGTAACAACAAGGGAATCCTTTGAAATACCATTTATTAATATCACTTTTGTTGCCCTAACCATAATTAGTTTTTACATTGTATATAAAAAGGATTCTCTAACATAGAAAATAATGACAATAGAAAATGCTTATATCTTATTACTGTAATTAAATTTTACAGCTAGCAATATAGATGGTTAAGAATACTATTTATATGGAAGTAGCTTTTCTTTGATTTAGGCAGTAACATATTTCGCTACAGATTTTTATTTAAGTTGTCCATCTGTTATATTTCATTTAATATTCAGACTAGTTGCGACTACCTTGTATGCAGGTAGATTTGATTTGGTAGGTTTGGGTCTTACTATAACTACTGCAGTATTTTTAATAAGCGTGTTATATATATGTAATAGAGCACAAAGGTAGTAATTTTTAATGAATTACAAAGAAGATACAATCAATTATCAATTATAAACTTTAATCAATAAACCTTTTACAAAAATTATTTATAATGAAAAGAAGCTCTAAATAGATGTGCATTAAGTAAATTAAGAATAATAATTTTTGGGTTACAATCAAAATTTGTGTTATGGTTGTAATATTAGGAATTTTTTAAGAAATTGTAAGGTTGGCGATAGAGCATTAGAGAAATGGATTATACATGATTACACAAATTTAAGTGGAAATTGTCTTGCAATTGTGAAAAGAACAAAAATAAAAATCAGAATTTGTCAATTCAATACTGATAATAGTTTGATTTTAATTTTAGAGAATCCAAAATTGGATAATAAGAAAAAATAAGTTCCATAAATTGTAAGTAATCAATTAGTAGAATAATTTTCTAATAGTAAGAAGAACTTTTTTAATTTGTAATTTAAATTTGGAGTCATGTCTATTTTAATGCTAGGTTAATATAAAATAAAAACAATAAATATTGTAAAATTATTGAATAAATTATTAAACACTTATATTTTTTCAGGAAAGGTGAATTTGAATTTAAATGGTAATAAGATAGTAAAATTAAAGACTTATGCTTAATTTTTAAAAATTTTCTTAATTTAAGTTTTCAACATAATTTAAGATATGGAGTATTCTTTAAATACTTTCAATGAAATAAGTGTTAATAATTTTGACAATTATCTTACTTTTCAAATAAGACTGTCAAATAAGTATTAATTTTTGTAATTATACTAAAAAAACTTCTTTATCAAGTACACTTAATAACATTTGTTGGTTACTCCGTTAACATTAGATTTGGTATTTTATTTTAATAAATTAATACCATTTGATGAAACGAATTCTTAGTTATGAGAGCTAAAACTTGATAATTTAATTTATATTATAATTAAATGTATAAAAATCACAAGTTTTACTATGATAAGGTGAATTTTAGTCGCAGAAGAAGAAATCAAGAATAAAGTTATTTCTTAAAAAATTAAATTAAAAGAAAATTTGGAATAATATTTTTGTTGTTGTTTGATATTGTAATACAGAAATAAATTATATATAATATATTTAATATATGAACAATCAACCTGTGTATATGTCTGTTGAGCAAATAAATGCATTATTTTAAAGAGATTCTACATTTGAGATAAGAGATGATCGTATTAATTCTTTCTAAAATGATTTAAAAAAAAATGAAGTAATATATTAAGTAAGTTAAAGACTTGGAAGTCTGAAAGTGCTGAATGTGAAGAAAATAGACCAACAAATCAAAGTGAAAGTATGATGATGAGTAAGAATAATTTTGGTTTATGTTTTTAAGTTACTAGAGAGGAGTATTAGGGTCTTTAATAAGAATATGAGAGACGTAAAGATATGGAAGAGAAATATAAGGAAGACATAAACAGATTAATAAGAGAACTCAAATAGAAGAGTGGAGAATTGGAGAGTGTAAAGAGAGATCAGGATATATTATATGAATAGAATTAAAGAAGAGAAAGTATTGAATAATTATTAAATGGTAAGACATTCTCCAGAATTTGAGATAACAAATACAAGAAACAAATAATAGGGAATAAAAGGCTATGATAGAATTGGCTGATATATAATAATAACATATGTAGATGAAACAGCAATTAGAAATAGTTTAGCAGAAATACAATTATTTGTAAAAACAACACAAATTCGAAATAGATAGAAAAGATAAATAAATTGATTAACTTAAGAGTTAAATTGTATCATTAAATGAAGAAAATGAAAAATTGAAGAATGAACCTTAGATAGGGAATCTTTATCTCGATTCTTAAAGGGTGTCATAGGAAAAGATTTAAAATTAATGGACTTAATTTAATTCGAGTGCTTATAAGAGTAGTATTTAATTCTAGAAGGAAAAGCCAGTGACATAGATATAGTTTAAGAGCAATTATGATTCAAAAGTTATATTCGGAAAAAAGTCTCAAAATTCATTAAAATAACAACAATCATAATCTGATTTGTTGTCAAAAGGATAATGAGTTTAATATTATATTACCTATTTAATAATTCTAGCCAAATTATTCTTAGGTCTGTATTATGGCATAACATTTATTATTATGATTAAAAATATTCTCATTCTAATGATATACATACAATGTTTAAATTAAAAGATAGTATATATATATATATTTAATAAATAAAAAAAATAAATACATTTATATTAAGATTTAAATGCCTCCTAAAAAAGAATAGCAAGAAGAGAAGAAGAATAAATTAGGAAGACCTAGTAATACACTTAAGATGGGTATAGTTGGTATGGCAAATGTGGGTAAGAAATACATTTTATGAAACATAGGAAAATCGACCACATTTAATACTTTATGTAAATTGAATGTTCCAGCAGAAAATTATCCATTTTGCACAATAGATCCAAATAATGCTAAAGTTCCTGTTCCAGATGATAGATTTATTAAACTATGTCAAATGCACAAACCAAAAAGTGAAGTTCAAGCTGTATTGAGTATTGTTGATATTGCTGGGTATTGATAAATTAAATAATAAAATTAGTTTAGTACCTGGGGCACATAAGGGAGAAGGTTTAGGAAATGCTTTCTTATCACATATAAAAGAATGTGATGGAATTTATCATGTAGTTAGAGCATTTGAAGATGAAAATGTTTGTCATACTGAATTATCAGTTGATCCAATTAGGTAGATTAGATAATTATATTGAATAGAGATATGGATATTATATCAACTGAATTATTGTTGAAGGATTTGGAATTTTGTAATAATAGATTAGCAGAAACAGAACACGTAATTAAAAGAAACAACAATAAAGATGCTAGAGAAGAAAAAGAAGTTTTGGATAAAGTGAAATAATTATTAGATAATAAGAAATGGGTAAGAACAGGAGATTGGAATTTTAAAGAGATTGAAATATTGAATAAATACTATTTTATTACAGCTAAGAATGTAGTTTATTTAGTGAACTTAAGTTAATAAGATTTTATGACAAGAAAGAATAAATGGTTGAAAGGTATTAAAGATTGGGTTGATGGTAATTGTCCAGGAGATATTATTCCTTATAGTGCAGATTTAGAAAAAGCTATTTTTGAAGAGTAATTCTCTTTTATAATAAATCAAGATCTCAAGCTAATAGTATAACATAAGAGAGATAAAAATTATCAATGTTGCCAAGAATCATTAAAACTGGATATAAAGCATTAGATTTGATTTATTTTTTCACTGCTGGTGAAGATGAAGTTAGATGTTGGACTATTAGAGCAGGAACTAAAGCTCCTCAAGCTGCTGGAGTTATCCATACAGATTTTGAAAAAGGATTCATTTGTGCTGAAGTTATGAAATATGAAGACTTTGTAAGTTTGGGATCTATTACAGCAGTTAAGGCTGAAGGAAAGTATAGATAATAAGGTAAAGAGTATGTTGTGGAAGATGGAGACATCTGTTTCTTCAAATTTAATGTTGGTGGTGGAGGTAAAAAATGAGTATTAGATTATCACATTAAGTATATTAAATACATAAATTTATATATATATATATATATTTAAATATTGTTTATCAAATCTAATTTTAATCTTATATTTTAGATTCTGTTGTTGAAATCATTCCAATTTCTAATTAGTATTCTGCCATTTTTGCATCATCCATAACAAATGAATGATTAATTTAATCACATGTAATAAAATCTTAACGTGATTGTATATATTTGAATGGAAATGATTATTCTATTTTTGTCACAAATCCCTTTAATTATAATAATCTTAAAAATTACCTTAGATAATTTCATCATGAAACCATCAAATAATTGATATTCAATAAATGCAAACAGAGTTGCTGCTATTAGATCTAATCTAGGATATTCAATTGAATTCATAATTAAAAAGAATGCTGGTGGATAGTATTTTGATGGGAAATATAATGGAAAACAGAGAAACTTTTAATAATCATCTTAATCAGCAAGTCCTCTAAATTAAAAAAGATAGAATATACTTATTCAACATATAAATAAAAGTGATATTCCAAAACCCAAAAGATTATGTACCCTGAACATCTAAAGTTAAATAAGAAAGTGAAAAGCATAAAAAAACATATATAATCTATTTATGAATTTTAAATACTTGAATGATCAAATTCTTAAAGAATATATCACAAAAAAAGGGTATTGTACCATAATTTTTTTCTACTTCAATTGCACAAACCAAAAATCCTAATAAACTTATGCTTAGATTATAGATATTGCCTATTTTCAATTGATTTGAAATATACCATGAAAGAATTATGGAATAAGTAATCTCCATAATTCGTATTAATAGATTGTTAAATTAGGGATATCTACTAAGATATTAAATAACAAATTATTGTTAAGGATATCAAGGATGCAGCACAATATACTAGAAATTAAAACAAATTTGGTTCCAAAAGTAATGCTTTACCAAATAGCAATAATTTTATCTATGATTAGCATTATTGATTATGATAATTTTATAATTTAATATTCATAATTTATGTTTGATACTAAAAGCATGTATGTCCAAAATCTCACATAATTGTGTTACTATACTCAAGATACAATGTAAATAAGATAGAAGTGAAAAGACTAATAAGCAGAAAATCAATTCTACTTCATCAAAATAACAAAACCCATCAGATGTAAAATAATGAGAATACAAATTTAATATGATAGCCCCTAGAGTAATTAACCAAGTGAATGAAAATTGATTGAAATTCTATAATAATAATATTTTATTAAATTACTTCTTTGGTTATGATAGCTAATTACCATATATTGATAATTTTAGACCATTATAATCCAATAGTGAGCATATATATATGAAACCATTTAGATAAAACATTTGTTGGTGACAAATAGATTAAATTAATAAATGTGAATACAACTGCAATAGGTAAATGTAAACTATTTAAGATTGTAATGATATTCCAATTCATTTTCTTAAACACTGGATAACAAAATTATGCTATAGTTATTACGCATGCAATGATAGTTATCAATAATAATATTGTATTATATTATAAATTGATTCCATTGAGTATTTCAATTTCATTTAACCAAAATTCTGAAGATTTAATAGCTGTTATCAAAAAGAATAATTGAATAACAGGAAGACCTTCATCTACTCCATTAATTACTCCTAATTAAAATACTCCAGTATGTTATTAACAATACACTCCAAAAAAGAAACCTCCAAATCCAACTCCTATTGCAGCCAACATTGAAAATGGTGTAAAAGCAATCTTAAATGCACTTAGATACAATTATCCAGTTATCCAAGCTGCAGTACAATCACTTCCATGATCCATTAGCATTCCCAAGGCAGTTGATTATTAAATTCTTCTAGCTTATTTACCATCTGCGTTATCTAAAGTTTAGTATATAAAAATAGTTAAAGCTATGTAAAAACTAGCCCATTAAGGTAGACCTTAATCGAACATTGGATTAAGGTATAAACTCAATAGAAAACTAGATAATAATGTACAAAATCCAGTAATAGTAATTAAATTTGGAGCAACTGTCTTAGGTAAATGATCAACCTATTAATATATCTTAATATCTTACAACAAATTAGGCAATATCTCCAAGAATCCAATTGTATAAAATAGAGAAATTTTATCCGTTATATTTGAACTTTCTCAAATTTTCAAAGTATTATTCTTTTACATACTTTTACAACATTAAATATAGAATTATAATTTGAATATATAACTTAAATATATTAGTGTTAATTAATCAAAAGTCAGCATCCATAGTAAATACTTTATCTTATTTTTTACTCATGACTCCAGCTTTTTAATAATCTCCAACTCTTCTTTCGAAGAAATTAGTTTTACCTTATAAAGATATCATATCCATCCATTCAAATGGATTTTTTGTATTGTAAATCTTAGGAGCACCCAATGCAAATATTAATCTATCTGCAACAAATTCAATATATTATTTCATCAAATTAGAATTCATTCCAATTAATTCAACTGATAATGCTTCACTAATAAATTCTTTTTCAATTTCAACAGCAGATGAAATAATTTCATGAATTCTTTAATTACTTAATTTATTGATTAAATGTTTGTAAATAAGACAAGCAAAGTCTGTATGAAGACCTTCATCTCTTGAAATTAATTCATTAGAAAAAGTAAGTCCAGGCATTAATGATCTTTTTTTGATCCAAAAAATTGCACAAAATGAACCAGAAAAGAATATGCCTTCAACAGCAGCAAAAGCAATTAATCTTTCAGCAAATGAATCATTATCATTTATCCATTTCATAGCCCACATTGCCTTCTTTTGTATAACAGGCACATTATCTATAGCATGAAGAAGATAATTCTTTTCATTTTCATCTGTTATGTATGTATCAATTAAAAGTGAATAAGTTTCTGAATGAATATTTTCCATAGCTATCTAAAATCCATAGAAACATCTAGCTTCTGGTACTTGAACTTCTGTACAGAACTATTAGGCCAAGTTTTCATTCACAATACCATCACTTGCTGCAAAGAAGGCAAGAACATACTTAATAAAATGCTTTTCATCAGCAGTAAGTTTTTCCCAATCTTTAAGATCCTAAAATTTTATTATTTAATTTTCTTACTTAATATAAATCTATTTCTTCAGCTGTCCAGAAACTTGCTTTGTGTTATTTATACATATTCCAAATATCATTGTATTTAATAGGAAATAGTACAAATCTATTTGGGTTTTGTTTTAAAAGAGGCTCATCACATTCATTCTAATTAAGTACTACTTTATTTGCTTATATATTAGAGAGAGGATTGAATGTTTAAGTCTTAGTGTTGCCGCTCAATTCTTAATTTTAAATGATCATTTTTTGTGTTTCAAATTTAAATTATTATTTTTATAATATACTCGAATTTTGGTTTAAAATGATAAGACTTTGTTATAATATTTATAATTTAAAAAACGGCGGTTCACTTCTTCTTTTATAATAATTTCAATAACTCAGTTACAGTACTTCTATCATCTAAATACGTATACAATCCACCTATCAAAGCATTTGATAATCCTTATTAAAATCCCTCTTAATTATATAAATTTGCTAAATTTCTTATTGCTACATCCATTGCATTAGTTCTTAATTAATCACATATCAAAGTAACAACTTAAGTTCTTTAATCATTCAAAACTTTAATTAACAAGTCTCTAAATTTTAAAAATATATCATCATTATTAAAAACCTATTGAATTAATAGATCTTTAGTTAAAACAAAGGTCTTATCATATAAAAATGATAGATTGCCCAATTTACATAATTATTTTGCTACATTATGTTAAGTTGATTATTTATTATCTATTCTTACAATCAGCTCTCCCAACATTTTATTTATGCTTTCTTTTCTTAATACTTCATTGATAACTATTGAAGATCCTGTAATAGGAGGTTTTGGTTCTAATTTCTTTTATTATTCTTTTAATTGTTTATCCAAATAGTTTAAATATCCTTATGTAATATTCTACCAATAATAAGACACATAGGATATTGTTGTAAATGACATAAGTAAGTAAAAATGTATTGACTTTACTTTTGATAATAGAACCAATGAAAATTTTAATTTATTTTTTGTGTTGCTTAAAACATACATATTATTGCTGAATGAATTAGTTTCAGTTGAATATTTGTATAAATCTTAATAGAGTAATTAATGATTTTAGTGATGCAAACTAAGAAACCCATTTAATAGTGACTTTAACATTAAATATAATTAAAAATTATCATTATTTAAGTAACTTTTCAATTTCTTCATAATGATTATACATTTCCCAATAAGTAATGAAGCCCTTACTAAATAAATCGATTTCATGATAAAGTCTAAAATATTTATATAAAAAATCTATTACATTTCCCCTTAAATTCGATCATTCATTAAATTTATAAAATTTTCCATATTCACCTTTCCACTTAATCTATTATATAATTCTTTTATTGGATTCATATATTACTCCTTCTCAATACAAGTATCCTATAATGTCTAACCCAATTCTTCCAAACTTATCCATCCATCTTCATCATGATCTGATAACTTGAACAATGACTCTAAATCTAATTATGCATTTGGAATAGATATTTTAGCATTCTCTATTAATTAATATTAATTCAATCTTTTAGTAAATCGATGATGAACCAAATATGTAAATAATTCTTCTGCTGTAACTCCACGTATTTCTAAACTCTTAACTATTTGAGATTGATCAGTTTTCAAATTTATTTATTTTGATTATTCTAAATTTTATGATTCCTCAAATAAACAACACTCTTTCAAATGATATCTTGGTAATTCAGGTTTTAAAAGAGATTTCCAATCTGTAAACAAATTTTAATAGTCAGGATGTGCTATTTGTTTATAATTTAAACTAATCAATTAAGGTATAATATATGTTTCTTTTGATACATAATATTTATCTTATTGCATATAATGTTAAATTTCAGCAGCATTGTATTATAATATGCATTCACTTCTTTAATCACTTTAATTCAATGGTGTTTAAGACACAATAGTTTAAAATTCCATTTTAACAGGTGTTAAATCCTCATGAAAAGGATCTACTACTGAATTTGCTGTATTAAAAATAAGAATTTATTATTCTGGTTTAATTTCTTGAATTTCATCTAATATTTTTAAATCATCATTTTCTTTTTATTCTATTTTTTAATTATCTAATTTTTTTTAAGATTCTATTTTTTTATTTGATTCTTCTTTCTATTTCTTTTTAAAATCTAAATTTGATCTGCTAGGTGATCTTATTGAAGGATTTGAACTCATAGAAGTATTCCATTCATATCTCTCTTTTGATTTAACTTTTCTTAAAACTACAGGTGCTCCTTAAACTTTTTCTGGAGATATTTTTTTTTCTTTTAAAAACTTTCTAAGTTCTTATTATAAATCATTTAGATCATTCTTTTTTTTATGTTTGGCTATTAATTCAATTAATTTGACATTTTCATCTTTTACCATTTATCTTAATTATAAACGATCTTCTTTCATTATTTCTACAATACACAACAATTACTAATACTTGTGCATTTCTCTATTGCTTATATGGTTTCCAATTATTCATTCTTTCTAGATTTATTAGAGACTTTAAGCATTTTTTAACGGATAATTAAAATATAAAACAAAAAATAACTAAAAAGTAAAAAATATCAAACAATCCCAAATTATTCCTACCTTTTTGCAATTAATTATAGCTCTTTAAGAAATGTCATATTTTACATGGTGAGTTCATCATTCTATTATTCAATTATATCATTTTATTTTTGAATTCTCTCCTTAGCTTATCGATACTTATCATTGACTTATTCTAACTATATATAAAATAATATATTATATATTACCTTCTCTATATTCTATTAAAGTTGATCTTTTAATTAATCTATTTATTTTTAATAATCAATCTAGCTTTTATTTTATACTTTATCTTTATTATTTTAATCTTATTCCAATTATTTAATCAACATCTTTAATTTTGTATTTTCAATTTCAAATCTATTACATTATTCTTTTAACTGACTTTATTAAGTTTAATATTGTATTATTTAACATTTACATTAAGATAATTCTTATTCCAAAGTTTTTAACTTATTATTTGTAAATTATAAATCATATGTTAATTTATCATTTTTTATTTTATATTCTTTTACTTATTCATCTAATTGTGAAATTGTAGTATTTTATTAAACATATTCTGGAATTTCAAGAAATTAAGTATTAGTTGATCTTTCAATTTTATTAAAATGTGAAAATTCAACTTTTTCTTCTAATTATTTAGCCTTTTTGAATGTTTATTAATATTTATTTTCTAAAATAGTATTTTGAATTTTATAATTTTCAATTTCATGATTCAGTTTTTCAATTTAAATTTGACATTAATTTATTTAATGTGCATTTTCTTTTAATTTAATTATTTCTTATTTTGATGATTCAAATTATTCTTCCAAATATTCATTTTCATTTTATAGTTATATAATTTCATTTTTTAACTTTTTAACTTCTTCATTATAAGTTGATTTTTCATTTGATAATTGTTTAACTTAATCTTGTAGTTAAGTATTTTTAATCTTTTATTAATCAAGATCTTTAAGACTCTTTTCATATAATTCTTTAGTTAATAGAACTTCATAATTAGAAATTTATTAAGTGGAAGATTTCTTTTAACTAAGTATTCGTTGATTTAAATTTTCTTTATCAAAACCAAATGAATCTGCAAGAGTTTTTTAGTGAAATGATTCACTGGCACGACTTTCACTTAGATCAGTTTCTCCAAGATTTACAACTTAATAAGTAAAATAGATTTTTGCATTTGGATCTGGACTTCTTTCTAAATTTAATGCACATTATCCTTCAATAGGCATAGTTTCATTAATATTAAAATTAACAACTCCAGCTAATTTCGATTATCCATCAACATTTAAAAGAGCTATTAGATGAGTCTTTTTTTAAGTATTTTCACCAACATTGAAATCTAATGTAAGTACCTCATTAACAATGAAAATATTTTTAGTTTTTTCTTTGGTCCTAGTCAAACATTTATTGAGCCCTCTTTTCCACATCACCTATAAAGTACAGGGGAATTTAACAGAGAGCTCTACTTTGCTTATATTGAGAGTAACTTAATAGCGGAAAGCCTTCATTTAAATTGTTAATCAGTTAATTAAAAAATGTATCAATAGGAAAATAAATATGATTTTAAGATAGTTTTAGGAAGAGTAAAAGAGAAGAATATGAGTTTGAGATTATGTTACAGTTAAACTAAGAATGATGATTATGAGATAGTAGTCAAATTGAAAGTGAAGAGTAACATAGATGTAAAAACTGCCGATAGTGAATTCAAAGAGAGGTGTAAGAGTACATACACTATTCTAACATCGTTTGTGTAATAAAGAATCGAGATGTTAGGAAATAAATTCGAGATTTTTTGAAGCCAACATTTGCACTTAGTTATCATGTAGATGAACATTATGCATACATAACATTTAAATATGCTAATGAAGTTGAGTTGTAAGAGTTTATGGAGATCTGTTAATTTATTAGAGAGACAATGGAAAGATCATAAGAAAGAGAGGAATGTGAATTAATAATTGAAAGTGATTTATCATTTGATAAATTAAGTGAAAGTATTTCTAATGCTATTTATTAAATGAATTTGGAAATATAAGGAAAGGCAGAATTTCAAAAGGATACTATAAAATTATTGGAAAATCTTAAATTATGCAAATAAGAGAATTTACCTTAGTTTTTGTAAAAAAAAAATTTGAGTTAAATTTTATTATATCTTTAATTATTATAGAAGGCTCATGCAGAAATAGAAATAGATAAGATTTAATATGATGTAGGATTTGCTTAACCTAATATAGAATTACCTTTCAAATTTGCTATTTATGGGAAATTGTAAAGATTTGCTGAATAATATTTGGATGATGGAATAGAATTGACAATCAAAGGACCTGGATTATTTTTAGATATATATTACACTTACAAAGGAAGCATATTCAAATTGATTGACAATATTTTAATTATTAAACAATGAATTCAATAAATACATTATTTTAATTATAAAGAAATGAATGTTTTGGAACAATCATTAAAATAAATTTAGGAATTGCATATCAAGGGACAATACAGAAAAGCCTATGAATAACTTAAGCAATTAGGTACAGATCTTGAGGCATATGATCCTAATTTTAAAGTATTCGAAAGACGAGCATGTAACATTGAAATGTTGGCTGCTTTCTATACTGAATATGGTAGTGTAGCTTTGAAATTAAGCTTATTGGAAATTTCAAAGGAATGTGTACAATGTGCATTCTATTATTTAAAAGGTTTTGCTAATATAAACCTATTTATATTGAATGTCCTCACATATTAGAGAATCAATTTCTGGCTTTGTAGGTACATAATTATCTCTTAAATAGATTAGATATCTTGATTCTATCCATTTGTTAAAGAGCCTCTTGAATGTTGTGCCTAATTCACTCATTCATTATAAAATTGAAATCTATATCAATATAGCCAATTCTCAAAGAGCTTGGTGTTTTTATGATGATGCTGAAGTTTCAATAAATCAAGCTGAATAATTAGCTAATCTACTCAATCCATCTTATTAGAATGATTTACTCAAAACCAACATTCTATTTCTTAAAGCTAGACTATATATGGATACAGATAGAAGCAAATATGGATTAGATTTCGCATTAGAGTATGCAAATCAAATGTTAATTAGTTGTTAGTTGTTTACAGCAAAGAGAGATGCTATTGCCACGTGATCATCCTGATATTGCTATTGCCATGGAACTTGTTGCAAAAATTAATTTTAGCTAGAATTTAGTGCAAGAAGCATAAAAGTATCATGATTAGGCCTATAAGATGAAGATAAAGGCCTTTGGATTGCATAACTTTGAAACCATAGATTCTATTAATGAAAAGGGGCGTCTCTTACTCTCTTCTAAAAAGGTATTCTAATTATAATTAATTAGGAATAACAAGCCATGCATTACTTTTAATTGATTGGAGAAATCAGTTAAGTACTTTTGGGTCCTTTGAATTAATATCAAGCACTCTCCTATAACAATCTTGGATGTGCTTTATTTAATGTTGGTAAATATGAAGCTTCCATATAATAACACTCTAATGCCCTATTTATCTATGAAAAATTGTGTGGCTAAGAACATTCTAAATTAGTGTTCTCATTAAATTAAATGGCCAATGCTAATAAATTACTTAACAGACCTAAAGCAGCATTCATGATCTGGAAGCGTTGTCAAACTATTCTAGAGAAAAATCCTTAAATCAATTCTAAACAGTTGAATGCTATAAAGTCTAGTTTATAAGGATTGTCTATACAAGAAGAAGATTGATTATTAATATATAAATTGTCTATTATTTAATCAAGATTTAATTATTGAAAATCCTATTATCTGAAAATAATATATTTACTCACATTAAATATAACTAAAATAAGAAGAAAATTAATATTTTAACAATAATTAATAATTCTAAAATAATTTTGATAAACAATATCATAAAATAAATTATAAGTACATTTAGATAACAATTTTGATACTCAATCTATGATTACACTATGTTTATATATAGAATATTTGAATCATTAAAAATATTAATAAATTTAATTCTTAATATATATATATATAATTTATTGTACATATAAAATAATCATCCAAGTTTTACTTTCTTTTTATAATTAATATAAGCTTATTCTTTAGATCTCCCCAAAGTTACTACATCACCTGCTTATAGATCCTTTTAAATTTCATCTTAATCTAATTATCCATCTATTTAATAGTTGACTTTTCCTCTTTTTTGTTAGATAACTGTTTATTTTGATGGTTATTGTTATTATTTAGATTAAGTTTTTTATTATTACTCATCATCTATAACCATCTTGATAAAGTTTCTCATCTTTCTCATTGCTTTATTAAATAAAGGTAATGATTAATTCACTGCATTATCTACTTATTCACTAGCTAATTCAATATTCTTAAATTGTAATCCCATTCCTAACAATAAAGCTGCTTAAGTTCTGCTCATTCTAATAGCTTTACCACATTTTTAAGCAAAGAAAATTCTTATTAAATAGTATAATATTATTACTTGCAAATTGCTGGCAATATATCTAAAATTAAATAAAAGTCTGCCATACTTTTACAATAATTTTCTAGTCTAGCATAATCACTTAAACTTAATTATTATTGAAGTTCTTCTTTTGTAATGATTTTGTCATCTTTTGCTATCTCAATATCTTCATCAACATTAGCTGTTGTAACATTTGCTTTTAAAATATCAATACAAAGATATGGTTCCAAATCTTTAAAATCATATCCTAATAAATTAATGAATCTATTTCTAAAATCATTACTATAAGCTTTGCATATATTATCTATACCAGTTCCCTCTTCCTTTACTGATTTCAAAACAATACATGTATATTCTCCTGTTGTATCATTCTTTCTTAAACTTAAATAAGCAGGACTAAATTAATTCTTACTCCAAAATTTGTAAAGTTCTTAAGTTAATCCAAAAGAAACACCCAAGTAATCAATTTAAGGTGGATATACTTCACTTAATTTTTTTAAAAGAGGTGGTAACTTTTTCTTTGGTTATATTGATTAATCTTTTTCATCATCTGCTGTTGCTTATTCTCTGAAATCTATATGTATTAATTAAGCAGAAGGATCTAAAATTTCACCTTTACAAAATCTATTTAATAATTCCATTGCCTTGCTTCCATAACCCATTTTCTATGCATTTGGATGAGTTGCTATTCTAATTACTCTTACTCCTGAATATTAAGGGAATTAATTATCCAAATAATACTTACTTAAAGTCCATGGAATTAAATCTCCTGATGGTTTCTATTAGTTTGTGACTTAATCAACTAAATCCTTTGGAATTGCTCCTTCGAAACATACTTAAACAGCACATAATATATCTGGCATAGTTTTATCTGTAGGTAATGGACCTAATAATACAAATACTGCATGAGCTGGTGCATCTGATAATAATTATAAATCATTAGGTGAATTCTTATAATGTGATGATATAAATAAGGACATTAAATTAAATAGAAATTTTTCACTTGTTTTTTGTGATGAAAATAAAGTATCTCTATTACATAAATACAATTCGCAATCATTTGGATGTGGTAATCCTTTTTATAATTTAGGTGCATCACTTGCATCTAATAATAATAATTCATAAAGCCATTTCTCCACTATATCTTTATTACTGTACCTAATTGGATCATTCATTTGTAATTCTTTTAATAAACGTGCTTAACCTGTCTATTTATTTTCTCTTAATTTTTATAACAATTTTAATGATAGGGATCTGCCTGTTCCCTCATATCCATTTATAGTACTAGAAAGCACTAATGTGTGACTTCCAAACATAGACTTAACAAATTATATTGGAATTGCAGCTGCTTCATCACAAAATACCAAATCAGCATTGTTAGCTACTTTTAAAAAGTCTTATGGTTGAATATATTAAACAAATTGTCTATGTGTTTTATATGCATTCACTCGAATGACTGCATTATTAAAATCAGGATTTGTAGATTATATTACATCAAAGTGTTGATTCTATCTAAAATCTAAAGTCTCCAAACTCTAAACTAAAAATTCAAAGAAAGTAACTAAATTTTCTGGAGAAGGTGCTGTAACGAATATATTACTAAATCCTAATTTGAGAGCAGCAGCAGCAGCCATACCAATAGCTGCTGATTTTCCTCTACCTCTGGCAGCACTTATGGATATAGTATATCTAAAGACTTTTTCTTATAAAGAATCAATGAGTCCTAAGATAATTTTGGCTTAGTCTAATGTTTTACAATTTTTGATCAATTTTTAAGCAATTTCATTAGGAACTGTTTAAGCAAATTCAGCTACTTAATTATTATTGATAGGAGTTCCTTGCTCAATTTTTTCTAAAGCAATTGAGGAAACTGGTAATAAATTTAATTCATCATCTACAAATAGACATCTGGAACATCTACTCAAACTTATAATGAATCTTTCATTAAATCTAGGTTAGATTTCTTTAAAACTAGGAGTTCTTAATCTAGAATGAATATCCATAGTTAAAGAATATAATTGTTTTAATGAAGACATAGTTTTAATGAGAAAAAGGATAATTCCTCCACCTGCAATAGTTTCAACTGTTCTGCATAGTATATTTGGAGTTAATGCTTCAAAATCTTATAGAATTAACATATTATATGTATTTCCTAAAACCTTTTATGTTTCAGCATAATAACAATATCGAATTTCATTGGATGAAAGAAATAGATTGAATGGTTCATTTAATTAGGTCTCTTCCTTCATTTATTAGTTCTTAATTTCAGATTCTCTTTTCTTTTTGTGAGTTGTAAATCCTAAATCCTTAAAGTTTATTAGTTAATTTTTACTTTCTTATAACACCACAATACTTTTGGCTTTTAAATCATACTCAGTTTGCTTAACAATTAATGCATTGTTGCAACCTAATATTTACTTCTATCTCCAATCATCACAAATATTGAACGAATGTGTTCATTAATACCAGATTGAACAAGTGCTTATATTTGTGAATCAAGTTTTTTTTTCATTAATCACAAATTAAATTATATATATATAAATATATATTTATTTATCATTCTTTCAACTAATCACATTTTTATCTATAAATAGTTTCTGCCTTTTATCCAAGATCTGGTTTGAGAGTTGAAATTTTTTAGCTGAAAGACTACCAAGATGATTATTTCTCTTGAGCATATTTAGTAATTTTAGATAATTTAAATGTTTGTTTCATTGCTTTTATTTTCTTCTTTTTAGCTTATCTTTGTTATTCATTGTCAGTTGGTAGATATTTTAAATTATCTGGTACTTAAAATTCATCCATTTCTTCAAAATTCATTTTTTTAGAATCATTTAACTATTTCTTAGCTTCCCTCAAATAAATCAAAGGTACAATTTCTCTATTTGAATTTTTCTTAAATCTTATATGATATCCTTCTTCTGTTACTTTTTCGATTGTTCCTAAATAATATCGACCATCTGAAGAATATATTGCTTCACATTATTATCCTACTGTAAATAATTTATTATCTGGAATAGGTTGAACTTTAATAAAAATGGCATGCATTTTCACTACTTCTTAATAACCAATAAATTAGATGTCTGCTTCTTATTCTTCTGTATCAATTTAAATAAGCTTTGCATTATACCATTTTCTATCTTATTCATGGTATGCTTTGGCTAATTTATCAATGTCTTCACCATTGAGTCTATTTACACTAAATAAATTGTCTTATGTTTTTTATAATGATGCTATTTCTTTCTCTTGTGCCTCTTTTGCTAATAAGAGTTCATCTTTAATATTTTTTAATTCTGCTATAGTTGAATTCTCTTCCTCATGAGAAAGTAGAAGATTCACTTTAAACATATGATTTTTCAACATAATCAAAGTTTTGTATGCCTCAATCACTTTGCTCTAATCCAATTATTATACAGGTGGTTAATAATTCTCTGGAGGATCATAATAATCAAATGAATCTATCTTCTATTTTTTGTATGCTTCAGACATATGTATTAAATTTTATAATAAAAATTCACAATAATGTTAAATTAAGTTGTTTCAGAAAAATTGGCTTAATGTGCAACTAATACGAAAATGATATAAGCTAAATTATAGATAATTAAAGAATCAAGAAAACCTGTATTAGAGGAAATTGAAGATATACCTAAATAAAATTATATTTATCCACCTTATCAACCTGAAATCCCAACTTAAGAATATTTAAAATAGGTTAATAAGCAAGTCAAAAAAATTAATGAAGATGTTAAAGTTATCAATTAAAAAGCTGAACAATTTGAAAAAAAATATAATCGTGAAGAAAGAAAAAGACAAGATGCAAAGTTATTTAAGAAACCAGTTATAAAGACTAAATAATAAATAGAATAAGAAAAGAAGGAAAAAGAAGATAAGAGACTTGATGATTTTGTTAATAGAATTGTGTCAAAATATGAACCTTATCTTAAGAAGCCAGAACCTATTAAGGAATCTGAAATTAAAGCAAAAAAGATATATCAATAAAAGTTTGAACATTATTAAATAAAAAAAGAATTATCGAATAAATTGTAAAGAGGTCTTGAAAGTAAAGAATAAAAAGAGTTTGATTTAGTAACAAAAAAAGATAATTGGGTTAAACAAAAATAATAAAATCAATTTGAATTAGTTGAAGATTATATTAAACCTTAAGAAGAAATCAAATTAGATTAAGAATCATAATCAATTATTATGAAAAGGGAAAAAGAAAAGAGAAAGAAAAAATAATAGATGTTATTTTATTAAATTCTAGATGAAAAAGTTAAAATGGATTAGAAAATCTTTAAGAAAAATTTCAATTTCTTAGTTAATAAAATATTTTTATAAATAGATAAATAAAAGACAGGATACATTTCCAAGGAAGAGCTTCTTTCTTATTTTAAAGAGTATAATATATTTATTGATATTTTTGAAATTAATTGGTAACCATTTAAGGAATTTGTAATAAAAATAAAAGCTACTCGTAAAGGACTATTGAATAAATAGGAATTAATAGAAATCTTATTAGATCAAAAATTACATAGCAAAATAGAGAATGTTGCTGAAAGAATTTAAAATTAACAAAAAGAAGAATATTAATTACCAGAATTTGATTAAGAAATATAAGCAAATTAAGATGAACCTATACCAATACATTAAAATGAATAAACAAGAGATCCTGATATTGATTACAAATAATTAGAATTTATCACTTAAATAAATTAGGAATTTTAAGATTTGAATTATCCAATTTATCATTAAGATTTAGAAAATAAAAAGATTACTTGTTAATTTGAAAAAGAATAATAATAAAAACAAAAGAAAAAATTAGATCCTAACTTTATTGTATTTAATAATGAAATTGGATAATTATCAGAACAGTATAATAAAGGAATGTTAGAGTTTCAAAAGAATGAAGATTTCATCATTAATTCTTAATTATACAATTTTTAATAATAGTGATATATCCTTTTTATATATATATATATAATTATTCATTATTAAAAATCATTTCAGTTATTATTAATACGTTGTTTTTTTTTGTATCTACTTGTAAAACTGTTATTTAAGTTTTAAGATTAAGAATTACTTTATGAATTACTACTTTAAACGGAATCAATAACAAATAAATCTAAATTTATACTTTATTAATTACTTTAATCCTATTTCTTATTAGTATCTTGAAAAAAAGATAGTACATCTTGTTTAGTATAAATATGATTCATTCTGCCTTCTTCTTAGCTACCATTTGGATTGGAGTTTGACAAAGAGGAATTAGATTAAAATAAATTAATGCTTGATATTTGATATGAACATTACTGCTTTTACGGATATAGGTTCATTTATTAAATAGGTGCTTAGTAATTAATCAATGGATTACTTGATTAAGATTACTAAAAGGTGACAGGTTGGCATTAATATTTTTATTCAAAATTTGGTGAATAATAATTTGATATTGGTTAATGAAAATAATTTTGTTAGGTTACATTGAATTACTCTGAGTATGGTATTTAATCAATGATTTCCATTTCCTTATAATTTTAATATTAATCATTCTTTTAAGATATATTCTATGAGTTACATAAGTTTTAAGTTTAAGTTTGATGTCCTTAATTATCTTAAGGAATATTAAAATTGAAAAGCTAATTATTGGTTTACATCTTAAATAAATCTAGAAAATTTTGATTTTTAATCAATGGTTAGGATTGTTAAGGAAATTATTAATTTCCTGTTAAAAATCCTTACAAAAAATATTAACTTACTTAATCTGAGCTTATATGAGAATTTGTATCTAAAAATGGATTTTTTTACTATATATTTTGGTTCTATTTTAGGCTAAATTCTTTCTATTGATCATTTTCTTAAATGATCTTTGAAGTTTTTGGTGTACTTTCATAATTCATTGATAATTATGTATTTTAAGATTATGGAGTCTCAAGTTTTTCATCTATTTATTTTTGAATTAGTATTTTTTTTTGAATTGATGGTTATTATAACATTTCATCCTTAGTTATCTCCAATAAATTTTAATTATTTTCCAATTTCAACTCTTATTTTTCAGATTTGAATATATTGTCAAATCTATGATTATTGATACTATCATCTTAACTGAACTAAATTTCTTGTTATTAATCCAATTATTAGGAATTCAATTTTTGTTGTTCATTTTTACTGTCAATTAGGTTTTAACGATGGCATTAAATTTGCAAGTTTATAATTTTTGAATCTAATACTAATGATCTTTATTTTATATTTTATTATTATTATTATTATTATTATTATTATTATTATTATTCTGATGTTTCTAAAGATATCTAATTTTTATTTTTATTTTTATTATCTTGGAGTTCACACTATTCTAATTCTTTTTTTTTATCAAAATCACTTTTTACACCAACTTCAGGATGGAAGATAGAAAAAAGCTTATTTTTTATTTCAATAAAGCTATCATTTGAACTTTTCTCCTCTGAGATTTAGGAATCAGTTTCTTAAGAATAGGAAATGTGTTCTATATTCATTAAAGCCACCGAAGTTTCTCCTTTAGTATTAGTACCAGTAGAACTTGAAAAATATTAATTTTCTTAAATAATTTATTTGAAGTTAACATTGTTGCAAACATGTCCATTTTGAGTTTCAAAGATCTAAAATTTTTAATCATTCAATTATTAACAATTGATTTGTTAATTTTATTTAATGATTGGAAAAGATTAAATTTCAAATTAACTTTTTTGATTCAATTATCCATTTGTCTATTCTTTTTATTAATCTTAAGGAATAGCAGTTTCGCTGCTATCTTTGAAACGAACCTTTTTTTTAATTTAATTACTGGATATTAAACTTGAGGAATTTTCTTAGTTTGATTCAATATTTTTATTCTAAGATTTTTTATTAAAATCAAAGTCTCTCTATTATTAGTAGGCTATTTGTTAATAGAAATAAAAATTACCTTCCATTTTACTAGATTTTTCAATTTTAGCATGATTTTTTTTAAACTTCATTTATTTCTTGGTTTTGGTAAGATAAGGTGACTAATCTTTTATTCTGATAACTTTATTGTTTTAGGATTCTTCTGAACTTTAATTTTGTTTTTGGGCAAGTTCCTTGTAATATAAATCAAAGGGATAGAGAGACTTTCTTTTTGAAGTTAGATTTTACTCATTATTCGGTATAATGTGATCTACAATTACAAGATTATTTTTAAATTAATGAGATAGTTCTGATTCTAAATTTTATTCATTATAGCATTGTATCCGTTAAATTGTACTACATGGGTTAATTGTAGGTTGAAATAAATCTTAAATCTTGTTTTTTATCTTTGTTATTATGCCTGGTTTAGAGTTTTTAGTAGAACCAAAAGGACTAAAGGGAGAGTAAGTTTAAAGTCTATTTCCAAACAGAAAATTATGCATTATTTAATTAATATATTATAATATTTAGATAATCTAGATGATAAATAATAATATGTTTTAAGAGAACAAAATGTATGATACTAAATAATTATAACTAATCACAATTGAATGTCCCACTTCTTTCTGCCATTTAAATCCCTATTCTAAAGGTTAATAATTACACTTACTTAAAATAGAATTTCATCCATTGTGGATTTCTTTGAAACTTTGCATTTTATACCAGTTTTGCAAGTCTCTGGCAACCCATTTCCAGTTATTGGATTTCTCTATATTTATTAGTTAATTAAAGTGCATATCAGATTTTCCTTATTCTAATAATCAAACATTCTATTGGCTGCTTCATTTTCTTTAATTCTATTTAAGGATATGGAGACTTAAGGCCTCTTAAAAAATCCAGATTGGCTAGTTTTCTTATGAAAATTGTCAAATGAACAATCTCTTTATATATTAGAAGGCTTTATAAAATCAACAGAATGACTTAATAGATCACTTTTGCTTTTATTTCTAGATGGAGAAAGCCTCCTTCTATATCTATGGATAAATTATTTAAATTCTTACTTATAAATTTCATCTTTCTTTGGTATCATATATTATAGTGAAGATTCATATTTACATTAATTAATTCTTATTTAACTTTTATTTTACTTAGCCAAACCTAATTCAACACTAGTTGCCTAATAAATTATTTTATATATAGTTTTACATTTTTGTTAAAATGAGCTTTCTCAGGTTATTTTACATATAATTAACATTAATTAAGTTTAAATTAAGCTGATGCTTAAGAAAAATGTCCCTAAGGAAAATGCTTTTTGGATAATATGTTTTTCATTTCAACGAACTTTTTATTATTATTTTTGCTTATAAAATATGTATATTAGTTGATGGGAATGTAATTGTCAATTAATATTAATTTATTAAATGTTACCTAGGATATCTTAAAGTTAATAACTTCATTCATTACATTATTCTGAAGAAGTAACATTAAATGAAGTAAAAAGAAGAAAAAAAGAACTGGAATTATAGGCTTAAAGTGTAGAAAATAGAATAAGATAACTTAGAAATGAAGAAGGAAAATTAATGAAAAGAATTTAATTAACAGAATAATTAACATCAGATGTTTGTAAATAGAAAGTGGCTGCATAACTAAAAGTAACTAATAAATATTTATTCATTATAGAAACAGCAAAAAATATAAAAAAATGTAATCTATTATAGAAATGCATAAAATGATTCAAAATAATTGACAGAATAATCTATTGGTAATGAACGAAATAAAGAACTATATATTAAAACAACGATAGAACGAAATTAATTGAAAAAAATCAAATAAGAGTTTAGATAATATAAACATGATGAAGCCTAAAATTTTAGAAAGTTTTTAAAATATTAACAATTTAAATTTATTGAGGAATAAACAAAGTGGCATGAAAATTAAAAATTAAAAGCAGCCTTAAGAAAATAAGAGTAAAATTTATCTGAGGTTTTAATTCGAGAAAAATTAAATGAAAAAAGATACAAAATAAAGTAAGAGATGGAGAAAGAAAAAGTCAAAACAATTTAAGAAAATGAAGAAAAAGAAAAACATATCAAATAATTAGAAATTGAAGAACTTTAAATGGTGCATAAATTATAGGCAACTTAATAAAAAGAAAAAGATGTAAAAGGAAAGTTAATTGCTGCTACTAGATTATAACCAGATTAATTAGCATAAGCTTTTCATTCTTTAAATAATACTACAATTATTGTTGAACAATCAAATACATAAATTAATGTATTAATATTATATATATATTAGAAATAAGAAGATAATGTACAATAAAATTAATAATCTCAAAATAACAATGAACAAAAAGAAGAATAAACTAATGAAGAGTAGTAAGGTACACAAACTTAAGAGTGAATTCATCAAGTATATAATAAAAGCTTAATTTAAAATTTATTAATACTCGAAATTATTACTTACGATTATATAGTTTATAATTGAGTTAATCAATATTAATACACCTTTATTAATATGTTTAAGAAAAACTAATTTATTTTAAAGTTTCTTGACAAACTATTAGAATTTGAAAACAAGGCCTATATCCTCCCTGATCATTTAGTCAATATTTTGTTATTACAACATTCGTTAATTAATCTATCATATCTCTTTTAAAGGAATGAAAAATCGTGGATATATATATTGGTACTTATTGCAAGACCTTAACTGATAATAAAGATTGAATTCTTGGCCTTTTTTATGCTAGCATTTATTGTTCTATGGCTAGTATTTTTATTTAATCAAAATTTGTATGGAGCTTCACTGACTAGTTTAATTAATACATTATTGAAAACTGCATTGTTGAATTTTGTACTTGAATAGACGGAAGATTAATTCGGACTAACTATTGGATTATGTATAAGCATATAATAATTTTTGGATGTTTTATTTGTATAAGGAACTCTCACTGTAAATACAATTAATTTTTAAGTCCCTTACTCTAATTACTTAAATATTTTAGAATTTATATTAAATATATTGCTAATTTATTTTTACTTATTTCAATTTGATTAAATTGTGTTATAAATATTAGCTTTAATCAGGTCATGTTTTTAATTAATTATAATAGTTTATCATAATAACTATAGAAATAGTATAATAAGAAAAATAGTAGCTTCATCTCATTTGGTCACTATTATATTTGGAATAATTAATTATATTCATTATTAAGATTTATTCACGTTAGTGTTAGTACCGTTTTTATTAAAAATTATACTCCAGCAATAATTTTCATATCATAATATTGATGATCCTATATTAAAGGCTTCTATATTACTTTAAGAAGGGAAGGTTTTTTAGTGTTTTATAATATTAAACAATTTAAAGAATATAGGTGTTATGAGATAAGCAAAATGTAATCAATAAATGAGATTATGTATTGATTAAATTATTATCAAAATATCTAAGCCTAATCAAGCCTTAAAAGGTGCTTGTTAACAATTAATGAAAAATGATTAACATAATATAATGCTATCAAATTCATTGAATAATTTAATACAAAACAAGTTATTTTTACTTTAAAACTTTAAAGATATTAATTTCAATTAATTGATGATTTATACTGATAAAGTAAATTCTATAAGTCGTTAATTAGAATAATACTATAATTAATAAAACAGTATGATGGTCTAATCATTATTAGTATTTTTTTATTCTGAAATTGTAAATGATTTGCTTAAAGCTTAATAGATATAAAGTAGTTTCTCAACATCATAAGAAACATAAATAAAATTTAATGATTCAATGTTATCTAAGTTAATCTATTTGGTTGCAAATTATCAAAATAATAAGCTTATAATTAAATCAATATCAAGTAATGCTCCTAAGACTTTTTGCAATAGAAACCTTGATGATCTGATTCCTGTTGGTGTTAGAGAATGGCATTCATTATTAGTAGATAAATTTGTTACTGATGGCTAATCAAAATTTGTTAGAAATCTAAATAATAATTATATTGCTAATGAAAATTATATAGAAAATGTTTAATTTGCTATTGATATTTTTTATACTGATGAAGTAGACTTTGTTTGTTTATTTTAACCTACACTTTTATAAACTAAAACAGTAATAATAAATCAAAACTATTAAATTACTTCAATGAGTGCAGATTTTAGTGATTTTGTTAATTTAAGCAAATATTTTAAAATAGGTTAATAGATTGATAAATTTATACCATCTGTTACTTAAATTACACAAAGTTGTTATTTAGAGGACATGATTGTAATGTAATCTGATTAAATCTTAAGTGCTAATAATTTTGCTGATTAAAAAACTGAAATGAATTATTATTGTGATGTTAATATTACAGTTAAATTACATGAAGAGAAAATGTTATATATGATAATATAATTTGATAATTTTAAAAAATAATTAATCAAAAAAAATGAAGAATTTATTGAAGAATAGGTTTTAGATAAAAATACATTTGATATGATTCCTTATGAATTAGAAAATAATATGATTATGGATCCTTATGAATTTTCAGATAATTAGAGTGATAAACACAATAAATAAAATTATATTTACATAGATGAAAAAACTATAGCAAAATAATAAATATTTACACCTAGAGATGAAGAAGTATCTTTAGTAAAATTTTAAAGAGTTGCAAAAAGATTTTAATCTCAATTTAAGAAATCTTAATTTTAAGAAGAACAATAAGCTTAATTTTATGATGTCTAATCTTAAGTTTCTTCATTAAAATAATTTAGAAATTCTAAATTTTATAGAAAATACGAACTTTATAACAAATTTTTATAATTTATTCCTTATAATAGATTACACAACTTTATTATTGCTATCATGTTTTTAATAGGCCTACTTCAAATGATATTCATGATAATAGTATTTAAACTTTATATATTTAGTAATTAACAAATAATGCCCTGGTTACATTAGCAGAAGATGTTAATTTATTGGAAATCAAAAATTTAATATTTTAACCTATGGAATTGTTCCTTGTCACTAGATGGACATTATTTAATTATAAAAACTAATTGAATGAAAAATAAATTACTTTAGAAGAGTATACAAATAGAACTCATTTTGCCTTATCTAATTTAGATTTAGGATATGATTAATTGAATTAAAATATATAATCAGTATTGTTCAAAAAAGAATTGTAGGCCTTATTGTAAATTAAACATATATATGCTTATTAATACTTAGATACATACAAAAATGAATAATATAATATTACTTTAAGAACAGCGATTTAGATTCTATTAAATTTTTAATATACCCTTAAAATGAATTATAAAATTGAAAAAACTGTTGCTATTGATACTCCACAAGTTTTTTATAGTTATAAAAACTATAAAGTATTAAATGATATAGCTTAATAATTGAATATAGATGTAATATCTGAAACACTATTAAGAGCAAATTTGATTTAAGATTAAATTGAGACAATTTTAGCTATTAATTAATCTCTTATGTTATTTTTGTTACTTTTAATATTTATTATGCATCAAATTATAGACAGGAGACTAATTTAATGTATCAATCTAGTGTAATATATTGATGAAAGGGAATTGGAACTTGAAATTAAGAAATATTAATCATTTTTAAATCAACTTAAGATAGATAATTCATTCAAGTTTTAATATAGATTAGATATGGAATTAAAGGAATAATAATTTTAATAATTTTAAGGGAATGAAAACCAATCAAAATTAAAATTTAAAAAAATTACAACAAATTCTCTATTAAAATATGGTTTTTTTTTATCAACTATCTACATTTTATTTTCATTCAATCATTTTTCTATATACTTTTTATAAAAGAACTATTTATAAAAGTATCCAGAAACTACATTATATTTAACAGGATTTGCAAATCTAGGTGTTGATTTTCCAGCTATGTTTGCATAACGTGAAATTTTAATTGAGAGAAAAAGATTATTTTATTTAACCTAAGAAGATTTTGAATATGTTTATTAAAGAATAATATTGGCTTTGAATAATACTGCTTAATTTGATTCAAAAGAAAAAGATTTTTCTAAGTAAACATTTATTCTAATTTAGAATATTAGTAACTTAAAAATTTTCAGATTATTATGAATAATTATAAGTATCTAATTTGTGTAACTTTATTCCTAAAAATATAGAAGAAAAAAGTAAATCTATTTGTTCATAAATATTTAATTAAAATATGTAATTAGGTTTAAAAGCAGTTTTAATTTATGCTTAAAATTTGATTGCAAAAGAAATAGAGATTAATAAATTCACTAAACGACTTACAATAGTATATAATGAATTAGATGGTGTCTTTATTTTATCACAAATAATTAAGGATGTAAACACATAATTCGTTTAGGAATTAAAATATTTGACAGTTTAATTAGTATAAATTTTATATGTAAATATTTTAATATTAATTAGATAATAAATATTTGTTATATAGTATTGATTATATTCATAATCTTAATATGGACACCAAAATTATCTTATATGTTTATTAATAATTCTAAACAAATTGTGCAATTCGTATAAATTTTACCTACATATTCGCTCTTCACTAATGATTTTTTTGAAAGAATTATGAGAAGCTTTTTAAATTAAAATTGAAATTATTAATAATTGCATTAGCTAACTTTCAATTTTAGTTATTTATTCTTTTTTATATTATTAAAATATAATTAAAATAAATAAACCTCTAAAATGTTGATATGTTTATTATATTTAAATATTTTAATTATTATTTAAGAAAATTTTACATTTTTTTAATCTTGCAATTTCTCATTTTAAAGCAAAAAAATTGTAATTTAAGAAAATTATCAAGGTTGATATAAATTGGAATGATAATTAGAGAATTTAAATGAAATTATAAACTTCTATAGAATCATTCAATTTCATGCATTCTATTTAAATACTCTCTTATTGCTTTACTACGCTTTATTATACTTAAAGGGATATTGGCTAATAATAAAGTTGTTTTCTTAATCTAAATAATATTAGTTATAATAATTTTACTTCATTATTTATTTTAGTAGCAGTTGGCCACCAAAAGAAAAGATAAATCAAAACTAAAACAACTAAAAATACTATAAATATTGCAACTGATGTAGTTGTATTTGTATCAACATCTTATTGTACACAAGATAAAAATAAGTCAGTTGTATATGAAAATATTTGCCTTAGATATAGATCTTATAAGATATCTAAAATTAAATCAAATTAACTTACCAATTTCATTCATTTAAGTATTTGTGTAAAGGAGAGATAATGCTTTATTGTAAGTTGAATTGGATGTAAAATTATAAAGAGTTCCACTTATTGTATGTGAAGGATCTTTTATAATGTTATTATACTCTTGTAATTGTGATCTAATATCTTCAAAATATCTTGAGAGAGCTAATG